GGGTCTGGCAGAGCGAGTCTGAAGCCATCCATCCTTTCCACCCCTCGCCCAGCCTGTCCCCATCCCCACACATGTCCAAATGCACCTGCAGCTCCAAACACTGCAGTGGCACAGGCATCAGACAGAGGCGCTCACTCAGCAGGGTCCAGCTCAGAGGAGGACGCGGTGCAGGCCGTCGCTTTGCCTCCCTATCCACAGATGGGTAGGCGCTATCACTGCCTTGGGCAGCCTCTCCTGGTGGCCCCTTTGGGTTCAGTCTGGAGGGACTTGGGAAGGAAGCCAAGCTCGGGTCGGCCCGGCTCTTTTACTTGGCAGGCAGGCGCACACCCGTGGCACGCTTTCCTAGCTCTGCCCAGCCTGCGCGGCTCTGGCGCGGCTCTGGCGTGGCTCTGGCATGGCCCTGGCAGGATGAGTGGAGGGCCTGGCGAGGAGGCGCTCACTGCCTTGGCGAGAGCTCCACCGCTGGGCAGGAGGGCCCATCTGTCAGCTGCACTGGGCGCCCCAGGCGAAGCTCTTCCACTCTGCCTGGTGCCAGGCAGGGATGGCGGCTGGACACTTCACCTGGGATGGGCCGATCCTGTGCTGCGGCCCCGGGAGATTTGCCTCCCCACCTGGGGTTGGGCTGCCCTCTCGGGCAGGGGAGGCTTTGTTGTACTGGTTGTAGGGCATCATTTTTAAAAGAATTGGCTTTGCCTTCGAAGGCGAAGGGAAGGTGACGACAGGAGCGCCTGAAGCCAAGTGTCTCCACCGGGCTCCAGTTGCAGGGAGGAGTCCTGGCTGGCTGTGTGTGGCTGCGCCAAATGCCACAGCATTGCTCTAAATGCTGCGACAGCACGGGGAGAAGGAAAAGCAATGGTGGCGGAAGGTCTCCCGATACGAAGTGCCTCACCAACGCCGAGGTCAACGTCCAAGCTGTTGCCGCCCGCCCGAGGATGCAAGGGGGGGAATTAAGTTACCCCCAAAAAGACGGCCTAGCTGTTTTTTCAGGGGTCAAAATCTCCTTATTAAAAAAATATAATAATTTTACTGACTCACAGCAATTGTCAAAAGGGAATGTGTTGGACAGGAGGTTACCTGAAAACTTGAAAAAAGCAAAACACCTCAGTCAAAATAAATCCCACAAAGGGATAGGCAGGATCAAGATGATCAAGATGTGTTGAAAAATGAATGAGTCCTACTTAAAAATTAGTGACATAAATCAGTCGTATTATCAATGTTGCCAAGTTCGAATCAATTTAAAATAAAGTTTGACACAGTCTAAGAAAAACCATTTATCTTTTAGAATGCTGTGAAAGTACTCTTAAGACAAAATAGATTGTAGTTTAGTTGAATCCATCCAAATTTCTTCAGAAGGTACTTGACCGCCAAGTACTCTAATGCAGAAAAGCAAACACACATTTCTCAACCTCAGCAACTTTAAGATATGTGGATCTTCAGCTCCAGAATTTCCCAGATGGCATTGAAGAATTCCTTGAGTATGAAGAATCAAAATAAATTAGAATTGCTTTTAAATAAATTATCAAGAAATACTGTACTCCAGAATTTATGACACTGATTCATAAATATTTTAGACATAAACATTTTTCAAACAGAACAATATTGCTCTATGATGAAATTCCCTATGGCAAGAATCAAAAATAATTAGTATATGCCCCTCTTTCAAGAGAGTCAGACTGTATGCCCTTTCTCACTAGAACTAGCTTGGTAAAGACAGACCTCTTCAGCACTCATTCTCAGAATTCAGAAATGAACAGGAAGGGAAATGATTGTCTGTGGAAAGTGATCATGACAGATTGTACTGGAGATAGGGAACTATTTTCTTTTGACAAAAATAAATTGCTAGCAAGGGAAGAGGAAATGGAGAACATTCTTTTGTAAGTTTTCATTCATATATTTGACATTGTGTAATGACACTTCACAAGCATTGGGATTCAGAGAATAAAACTGATCAAGCAAGTGGAAAATCTTTGAGAGACACAACCTGTACTTCCTCTTTCCACATTCATCTGTGTAATCTAAGATACAGATAGTCCTCAACTCACTAGCGACTGTTTGAAGTTACAACAACACTGAAAAAGTGACTTATACTTACAACCATTGTAGCATCCCATGGTCATGTGGTTAAAATTCCAACACTTGGCGACTGGCATGTATTTATGATGGTTGAACTGGGGGTCATGTGATCAGCATTTTTAACGTTCCTAACCAGCTTCTGATAAGCAAAATCAACAGGAAAACCAGATTTGCTTAATAGTCAAATTATTCACTTAACAACCTTAATGATACATTTAACAACTGTGCCAATGGGGCAAAACTTACTTAACTGTCTTGCTTAGCAACTGTAATTTTGGGTTCAGTTCAGGTTGTAAGTTGAGGACTACCAGTATAGGCCTTATGTGCAATAATACAACTTTTAGTGAGCAGTCCAGCTGCATAACTTCAGCTTCAGAATTTTCATGTGCAGGAAGAAGAGATGAAAGGAAGTTCAAAGCAAGTAGTGGAGTCTTCCCTTCCCAACTATACTTTCCTACAATATCTTGAACAGAATAGAATAGAATTCTTTATTGGCCAACTGTGATTGGACACACAATAAATTTGTCTTGGTGCAAATTTTCTCAGTATACATAAAAGAAAAGATACATTTATCAAGTCAAGAATCATAAGGTACAACACTTAATGATAGTCATAGGGTACAATCAGCAATCAAATCTTACTAGGAAACAGTCAATATAAATCGTAAGGATACAAGTGACAAAGTTAACTCATACAGTCACAAGTGGGAGGGGAGGGGTGATAAGAAGTCATGAGAAGGTTAATAGTAATAGTGTGCAGACTTTGTAATAATTGAACAGTATTGAGGGAATTATTTGTTTAGCATAGTGATGGCTTTCGGGAAAAAAACTGTTCTTGTGTCTAGTTGTTCTGGAGTGCAGTGCTCTATAGCGTCGTTTTGAGGGGAGGAGTTGAAACAGTTTATGTCCAGGATATGAGGGGTCTGTAAATATTTTCACAGCCTTCTTTTTGACTCATGCAGTATACAGGTCCTCGATTGAAGGCAGGTGGGTAGTAATTGTTTTTCTGCAGTCCTAATTACTCTTTGAAGTCTGTGTCTGTCCTGTTGAGTTGTAGAACCAAACCAGACAGTTATAGAGGTGCAGATGATAGACTCAGTAATTCCTCTGTAGAACTGTATCAGCAGCTCCTTGGGCAGTTCGAGCTTTCTGAGTTGGCGCAGAAAGAACATTCTTTGTTGTGCTTTTTTGATGACGTTTTTGAAGTTAAGTGTCCGTTTTAGGTCATGTGATATAGTAGAACCTAGAAATTTGAAGATCTCTACTGTTGATATTGTGTTGTCTAGTATAGTAAGACATGGTAGTATGGAAGGGTTTCTTCTAAAGTCTACCACCATTTCTTCAGTTTTGACTGTGTTCAGTTCCAAATTGTTCCGGTTACACCACGAGGCAAATTGTATAATCTCCTGTCTGTATGCAGATTCGTCGATGTCTCGAATGAAACCAATCACTGTTGTGTGATCAACAAACTTCAGTATTTTAACAGATGGATCGTTTGAACTGCAGTCATTGGTATATAGGGGGAAGAGAAGTGGAGAAAGCATACAACCTTTGGCGGGGGGGGGGAGCTGTGCTAGTTCATTAATGTTCACACCTGGATTCTGAGAATGCTAAAATAAGTCCAAAGACAGCTTTGTAAAGTAGGCTAGTGCTTTGAAAAATGTCCCATGTTCCTTTAAAAAAAAATTAATAGAATAAGTTAACACATTGATGTTAACACATTGACAGAAAGATTCATATTATCAAGGCGGGGTGTCGAAAATAAAAACTTCTTTAGATTCCCCCCATCAAATGATTCTTCAGATCAATAAAAGTTTCAAAATAGATTATTAAAAATGAAAAATTGGTCATATTTAGTAATAATAATCAAATTATAATATGCAGGCTGAGATTGAGAATCTGGAAGTTTTCAATTCTGGAGTTGAACTTTATTGTAAACTATATTTCAATTCAAAAAATCAGCATTCAACCTGGAGTACACATATCTGTTGTTGTTTATTGTAAAGAAATGCAGAGATGATCTAAGTAAACCCATGCATATTTTTGTTCATTCATATTTGAAAATTTAAACTCTGCTGTATTTTACATTGAACATCATTTACAGCTTGAAAACAATACAATTTCATATGATCCCTCTTTAGATATCTTATTCTAAGCATCAATGAACAGTTTCAAATATAGTTTTGATCCAAATGGGGAACGGAAACCTCAGATTTATTTGAAATGGTCAATTGGTCAATGATCATCATATGAATTTAAAAATTATAGGAAAAATTATAGAAAAAAAGGAAATAATTACAGGGTTAAAATAAAATGTTCTAATGAAAGAGTAAGAGAGTTAAGTTCCTCTTCCCTTTTCTTTTTGATATTTTCTCTTACTCCCCATAGTTCTCATATAGCAGAAACAGGAAGCAGCAGATCCTATTTGCCAAAATTCTGATCAGACGATTGGAAAATAGGATGAGAGCCTTAACATCAAGCTATTGACATTTTTTGCTTATCTATCTACTTATAGTATCTGCCCTTGTTTCCAAAGATTTGTTCAAGGCAAGGAACATAACTCATATGTTGTCCCATTTTATCTCTGGCAATGTTTAGGTGGAAATATCATGGGCTAAATCTAAAGTAGCAGTCAGCAACACAACTTATCTGAGATGGCATCTGCATAAACCCCCAAAGAAAAACACTTTTTAATGACCTAAATCTCTCAGAATAGAATTGAGAGGTTTGAAAGATTTGAAGCCTTTTTAAAAATGATTAAATTTACAATCCATAAAATGTGCAAAGTCATCGAAAATGATTGCTTCCCCAGAGTCTAGCCTATATTCACAGGTTAAAACAAGCTCAAACAAGGGAGAAAAGTCATACCAAAATACATGTAAGAATTGAAATATCTAGTCTGGAAAAAAGACTGTGGAAGGGAAACAGTGTTCAAATATTTTACATTTATTGCAATAACTGAGCAGCATACAGAGAAGATAATCACAAACTATTTTGCACTGTCCCAAAACTAGAACCAGAAATAATGTGCATGAAAATAAAAACTTTGTGATGGTCAGATGGAAAGTTAAACATTCCATTTACCAAAGTTCTGGGTTCTTAATCTCTGTAGATTTTTAAGACAATATTTTAATTTCTTCAGAGTGGTCTAATTGATTTTCCTGCATAGGACAAAGGGTTAGATTAGATGATCCTTGGGAACCTCAGATGATCCTTGGGATCCTTTCCAACTCTACTATTTTACTATATAAATTTAATCTGAAATTGTTCCTGTAATACTAATATAATGCCAATACTTTGATATGCAATTTGCAGGCTTCTTGTTGAATAACAATTTGAGCATATGATGATGTTACAGAAATATATGTTAGATACGTTTGCATTTGCAAATTTGCTACTTATTTAAGAAGTACAACACATTCAATAAAGCAATTAAAAATTCCAGTAGAATCTTAGATCTGCCTTACCAATGGGGAATATATCAAATTTTATTATGTTATTAAATTTATTATGTTTATTAAATTTATATGCTGCCCATCTTGCTATCCAGCAATCAAATGATGTTATCCTCATAATTTAGACAGGGGCAAGTTTAGTGATGCAGACAGAGGGAAGCAACTATAGTACTTCCCCAGACAAGACACCTTTTCAAATCTTTAATTTATTATTGCCCTTCAAGTTAATGTAAATTTTCCATTATTTTTGTTTCAGGAATTCAGCATTAGAATATAGCTTACTAACTCAGTAATGTAGTTCTATTGTTCTTTCCTTTCCCTGTTTTTTTTTTTCTGGTCCCAGAAATACTATCAAATTTAGCAGTTGCCATGTTTCCCTCAAACTGCAGTATGAATTTGAGAACAGATTTTCACTTAAATGTTGTAAGTTGCCTCTTGTTATCCAACAACTCAGCTATATGTATTATTGTTTACTCTGAATGCAAAGCAGCTGCGTTACATGGTGTCTGCAATGAAATGATTATTGCTTTTAATATATAGTAAAGATGATGAAACAGATAGACTTATAATTATTATATCAATTTGGCATTAGAATGTGGTAGTGTGCTTTCAGAAGTCAGTGTTTATTAAACAAGACACAGTTTAGATTGTTGCCAGATTAATTGGTTGCCTGTTCATTCTTCTCCATGTTCATGACCAGATCTATTCCATCGCTAGTTGTTGGAGCATCTCCACCAGTAAAATAAAAAGAATTTTCAAAATTCTCCTCTATCGAGCCATGTTGCTTCCTTTTCTTGTAGAAATAGAAACCTGTGAGAACAGCTCCGGAAACAATGAGAATCACTAGCACAACGACAATGATGGCTTTGTTGTTGTGGGTTGGTGAAGGAATAACATCTGTCTTTCTTGATTCTGTAAATAAATGCAGGGTAATCACAACACAACATTCAGGGAAATTTCTCTTAGCATAGTTGGACTTTGTCCTTCACAGATTACTAGGTACCATTCCTCGCCATTTATTTTTTTTATTAACACTGTGAGGCGGCTAAAGGAGAATCCAGTGATCTTTGTGGTCTTTATTTACCCAGCATTTGAATCCATTTCTTTGGTTGTTTGTCCAATACCGTAACATCAACACTAAAACATCACTATATTGGGCCAATATGTAGCTGATCCCAGATATATCTGACCCCAACTTTGGCCCAAAATTTCTTCCTTAACTCAACTTTACTGAAATTGGAAAAAGCTTTTTCCCTCCCTGTAAGACTGAAGGTGAAGTTCTCATTGGTGAGAACTTCAACTGTGTCCTTTTTCCCAGCTTCTTTGCTTAAGAGACATTTAATTTTTTCTTTCCTCCGTTCTCAAGCAGATAACTGTTTTGTTTTTGTGTACTGAAATTATTTATTTCTGTTTCTTTCCTTCTACTTATCTGCAACTTTTGCACTGAATGCCATGGGGTTTATCCTAGAGGAGAACTTGCATTATAAATAAGGATTAGGAAAATTCATTATGGGTGGCATTTCAAATTGTTCTCAGATTTTTTATTTCCCCTGACCAAAGAATTTAAATCAGATTTAAGAATTGCTGGAGTTTTGCCTAAAAGTTATTTGCTGCATGATGTTCTGACTCCAGAAGACAATAGTATTCTACTTGGTGCACTCCAATTGTATTAGATCAAAACTCATGTGAATTGGGAATGCTATATATTTTGTTTTAATATTTCTAAATACATCAGGTTGAAGGAAACTGAAAGATTCATTTCTCTGGTACTGTATTCTCAGAAAGGCAACAAAAACAATCCCATATCTTAACATTTAAATTTTATAAGCTAGTTGACATAATAATGTAAAATTAATTTTTTTTAAAGATACGAGAGAGACAGGAAAGAGAGAAAGAAAGAGGCAAGTAGGTAGGTAGGTGACAGAAATATATCTTTTAGTAAAATTTATTTATTGTGCATAAATTCTTACCTTTGTTTTCTGATATCTTCTCAGTAGGTACTGTTTCAACAACTGTAAAAGAAGAGAAATATTATGAATTATGTTATGTTATGTTCAGAGTCCTTTACATTTCAATGCTATAAGCAGAACAAATTTAATTCCTTCTAAATTATCGTTGGAATTATCATTGATCACTGAGTTTTGTATAAATAGCAAGATAATATAATAGTCAAAAAGATAAATTCAGTTTCAGGTTGTACCAATAGAAGTATAGTTTACAGAAAGTAAAATTCCCACTACATTCTGCACTGGTCAGACTCTTCTGTCAATGCAGGGAGATGCTGCTAATGCTCAGCTTTGAGGTAAAGAAATAAGAGCTGAGGAGAGACAGTAAAGGAGTTTTCAAGTATCTGAAACAGACTTACAGAGATCTGACCTTAATCACACCCAGGTGCTAGGCAAAAAACAATGGCATTAAATTACATGAAAGCAGATTCTGGTTGAATATTAGAAAAGACATCCTAATAGCAAAACAGTTCTGTATATGGTTCAATTACCAAGATAGTTTCATATATTCAATATATATATATTCAATATATATATTTCATATATATTTCATAAATTCACTTCATATATTCAAGCAAAGGCTAGATGGCCATCAGTTTGGATGCTATAATTTGGATTCCTACTGTACTCAAAACATTGTGTAGGAGTGGAAAATATGTGACTTCTTTTCTTGTAAGGTGAAAAAACATGGACTCCTCATAAATCTTCTTGCTTGAATCCTCTGAAGAGATTTGTCATTCATCTCTTTACAAAATTTCAGAGGTGTTGTCCCAAAGATGCTTTTTCAAAAGGCAACTGGACTTTCTGGTTTTTCTTTGAAGATGTTTCGCTTCTCATCCAAGAAGCTTCTCTAGTGGATAGTGGGGGTGAGAAGTGATACCTCTTTTTTAAAAAAAAACCAGAAAGTCCAGTTGGCTCTTGAAAAAGCACCTTTGGGACAACCATGACCTGGATGACTGAGAATCTCTATAGATATTCAAAGGTGTTGATTTTTCTTTCTTTCTTTCTCTTCCTATAGATATCTATTATTGCTAGTGCAGGTCATATTAAATGCAGGAAGTCAATTTGGTGGTCAGGCTAGGTGAATTAACTGGAAATTCTTTTCCAGACTGATTTCATTCAAGTTCAAGATAAACATGAAGATCACCTTATAGTTGCTGATGTATACTTATATCCCATTTGTTCCCTTTCTCCTACACTTTTTCAATTATGTTGTGACCAAAAAGGACAAAAGGAGAAAAACTAAGAAAATAAAATAATAAAATAAAATAGTAAGAACATATAACGTATTACTTACCTTTTGGTTTTTTGCAAATATATCCAAGGTATGAATTACAATAAACATTATTCCAAATCCCATTTGAAGCAAACATTTCTACACAATCTTCATCACTCTGACTTGAAGGTTCTCCAGTGTTCCAGTTGACAAAGTTCACAACAGCATTGTCAATCCATAACCAATCACCTAATGTTGGGTTAGAAAATATGCCAAGATGATTAGCTCTAGCAATGTCTTCCTTCCTTCCTTCCTTCCTTCCTTCCTTCCTTCCTTCCTTCCTTCCTTCCTTCCTTCCTTCCTTCCTTCCTTCCTTCCTTCCTTCCTCCCTCCCTTCCTTCCTTCCTTCCTTCCTTCCTTTTAACTTCTTTCTTTCTTTCTTTCTTTCTTTCTTTCTTTCTTTCTTTCTTTCTTTCTTTCTTTCTTACTTACTTACTTACTTACTTACTTACTTACTTACCTACCCTATTTTATGATTAAGTGCATGGTTCCATTTAAAGACTTTTACATTTAAACCAAAATTAAGAAATCTCTAGTCATGTATATTATACATATCTATACACTGCAGTTATTAGAAATTTAAATTTGTTTTAATTTAAAACAAATGTGGTTTTAATTGTAAAGCAGGAAGACTCTTTCCCAGCTAGATATACATACAGCACTAGAATTTGGAAATATCCTTTTCTTTTGCCAATTTAATAAAATGAAGATGGCACTGATTTCTTTTCTATTCATTTAGTGTTACATAATTAGGCAGAACAAAATCATGTGCCAATTTTTTAAAACATGTTATTTAAATTTGCCATACTGTTGAATTCATAAATGTACAAAGCCATGAATCATAATTTACAAAGCACATAGTTGGATATATACATCACTCTAATTTTTTTAGACAAAGTCCTTATTCTATTGTATCGTATAACAGGCCAAGGGTACATGCAAAAACATTACTGGGCCAGGACCAAAAAAAAAAAAAAGGATGAACTATGGGTATCCATAGAGACATCAATGGGTAGCAGACAATGAAATATCTATGGAAACACCATTTTGCAAACTCTGCCTCTTTGATACTTGTGATATCACATAAAATAGTGGACCTTCAGTTATGATGACATAATCCATTTTTTTTCTTATTTGTATGATCTTATTACAAAACAAGATATAAGAAAAATAAATTTGATGTCATGTTTTATTTATTTAGAAAGTTTATTTAAAGCCCACTCACTCAGTGATTCTGGGCAGCTTACAAAAAATAAAACCCAATATAGAAACAATAAAAATAATAATTCGCTACCGTCACCCCTCATTAAATGTTTATTTATATATAATTAAAGTTATATATGTATAAGTATATACTTTAGGGGGAAACTCTCTAAAAGCTTTTAGGGAGCAGCTCAAATTTGTTCCTCCAAGCCAAAACTAAATGTCCTTTTACTTTAACATAATGGGTAAATCATCTCATTTTGCATTTAATGTTTGATGCAACTCCCCCCCCCCCACCCAAACTAGGACATGTAACAAAATGCTCTGTGATGTATTGAAACTCAACTATAGTCTCAAATTCCCAGCATAATCAATGAAATACTTAACCATACATGCATACACATATGCATACATATCCCTACTGATTAATGCTTTAAAAAAAGGCTTTTATTTAAAAAATATTCTAGCACTAACTCATCAGCCACTTAGCTAAATAAATTAATTAGAATAAGACTGTGTGAAATATCTCAAATATGCTTTCATCCCCAACCATAAATGTTGAATTATAATTAGAAGTCATGACAATGTTACATTTTTATCTGGTTTCCTCCTTTTTTTACGTACAATCAAGTACCTTCTTTGGTACTTGCCAGAAGATTCAACTGTGATTATAATAAAATATTTGCAATACAAACAGCACTGAGCTTAAAATTAAAATATACCATTTAGATTTTTGAACATTCCTATCCAAAATGCTTGGGATTTGCTTTCAAGGTTTTCTGTAATTTCTGTTAGAAAGTTTGCTTCTGATGTATCCATTACTGAAACCAGAGAGGCATCTGTAAAAAAATAAGCAAACATTCTCAGAGAAAATACTATTTGAATATTTATTGACCCATAACAAGTTGAGTAGCTAATTAAAAGAAAGGTTTTGTTTAATGTCAAAACATGTTTTTTTATGTATGGATACCCTGATCAAGCCAATAACTTAAGTTTTCAGATAAAGAACACTCATCACTACCCATTATGCTATTTCCTCTGCAAAATGCAATGGTAAACCAAAGAAATTAAAGCATGAATAAAGAGGGAAATTAAATCTAGTTTATAGCAACACTTAGTATTTCCTCATATCTTTCTATTTCTACAGATTATCCTTGCCTCCTCTGGCTCCACACATCAAATTATAAGTTGCTTCTTCTTTAAAATTATATTTCTAAGGATCTCATCAATTTTAACCATTGACAAATTTCTTGGACTTCCCCTTCTTCCACACTCATTCACTTTTACCTCATATAAAAACTATTAGTTTTTTATATTAGAGCCTTATTCATTCCCTCTCAATCCAGCTCATTATTCTTCTTTCATATTTCTATTGTCTTGATCACTTACTTTTGTATTCAGCCCTCACTCCTTAAGTAGCCCATTCCAACTGCATGTAATTTACTTTTATGTTTCTCCTTACATGACCAAATCTCATTTCTGTATAACAAATTGGTCATGTGATTAGAGAAAGCCATTTCACTTCTTTTGACAAACCTCCATTTCTTTAACAGCATTCCTTTGCCCTGCGTTATTCATGTAGGGATGAATAATATGACAAAGATCCTGAAAACAATATCAAGAGACTATCAGCAGCTTGTCATAAAAGCAAGCGTTAGGAGCACAGGTGGTATTTTCATATGTACTTCCAATGGAAGGTAAACTTCCAATGAGGTAACAGAAGATTCTAGAAGTAAACCACTGGCAAAAAGGATGGTGCTGTTGAGAGACCTTTGGATTCCTAGAAGTAAACCACTAGATTCTAGAAGTAAACCACTGGCAAAAAGGATGGTGCTGTTGAGAGACCTTTGGATTCCTAGATCAGGAAGCGACCTTACTATACATGAGGGCTCCTGACAGAGGGCAGGCTGCACATCACAAGAACTGAGGAACGTGTGTGGAAAACAATCAGCTCATAAATTCTAAAGGGCTTTAAATTAAAACTGGAAGGGCAGGGAACCAATTTTAGGAACTAATCACAAGCATAAGTCACAAGGCAATTAATCAAACAGTGAACTAGGGAGTGGTGAGAGGAAAGGCGAACTTGGATACAAAATAAGAGAAATAGGAAACAAATACAGGGTCAGCCATAAGGGATTCCAATGACTATATACCAATGCTCAAAGTATGAGGAACAAATAGATCAGACCCAAGTTGAAATCAGCATGGTTGCATAAAGAACTCTCTTACAAACTGAGAAAAAAGAAAAAATAGAAAAAATAGAAAGAGGGAGATATAATTAAACAGAATACAGAATTAACTTCCTAAGGTTAAGCATGAACTAAGAGTTGCAACAAATGTCAAGAATAATAATAATAAAAAAATTCAAATGTAAGAAACAAGGAAAAAGCCAAGAAAGTAATCAGTCAACTAATGGGAGAAGATGGCAAAGAGGTGATAAGGTAGAAGAAAGAAAGTAGAACTGTTTAATTTATTCTTTGTATTTGTCTTTATGCAAAAAGAAAAAAAATAGTTCAGCCTATCAAAGGGGGTACCATAAAAAATAGATTAGGAATAAATATAAAAACAAGCAAGAAAACAGTAAGATAACACCTATCCACTCTAGACAAGTTCAAATCATCAAGATCAGATAGATTATATATCAGTGTTCAGGAGCAGCTGTCAGACATGATCTCAGAACTATGAAACAATTTTTTTCAAAGCTCCTGAAGCAAAGAGGAACTACCAGAGGACTAGAGAAGAGCTGATGTGCTTTTAGCATACAAAATCGAGGAGGGAGTGAACATAGGAAACTACAGACCAATCAGTCTTATATTGTGACTAGGGAAAATGCTCAAAAAATAATCAAGCAGCATGTTTGTGAGTATCTAGAAATATTGACAGACTTGCACACTGGGTTCTATCCAACAAAATGCAATTCAATGAGAAAAGGTCCTACACATAGGCAAGAAAAACCAAGTGCACAGGTATAGAATAGGTGGCACCTGGCTTAATTGTAGTAACTGTGAAAGGGATCTTAGGTCTGAGCCACTTAAATATGAGCCAGCAGTGTGCTGCAGGTATCAAAAAAGGCAAAGTGGTCCTAGATTGCATCAACAGAGAGACAGTCTCAAGATTACATGAAAAGATTATACTAATTTATATTGCACTGGGGAAATCACATTTGAAATAATGCATCCAGTTCTGGTCCACCACAATTTTAAAAAATGTTGGCACCCTAAAAAGAATGTAGAAAAGAACAACAAATACAATGAGGTGTCTGGAGCCAAACCATACAATGAAAAATTCAGAGAACTAGGTATGTTCTTCTAACAAAGAGAAGGATTAGGAGAAGGATGATATGATAGCAGTACTTTAGTATGCCCTTTAATTAAATTTAACTCCACGGCAACTAGCCAATTTCCTGGTTCTTCCAGTACTTGAGGGGTTATCACAGAGAAGATGGGATTGACCTATTCTCCAAAGTACCTGAGAGCAGAAATAATTGGTGAATAATTGGTGAAAGATCATTAAATAATTTGTGAAAGATCATTAAAACTAAGGAGAAAGTTCCTGACATAAAAACAATTAATCAATTGAATGACTTAACCCCAGAAGTTATGGATGCTCCATCCCTGGAGGGTTTCAAGAAGAGAATGGACAGCAATTTGTCTGGAATTCTATAAGGTCTCCTTCTCAAGTAGGGAGTTGGACATAGAAGGCCCCTAAGATCCCTTTCAATCCTGTTATTCTACATTCTAAGGAATCCATATCCTTTCTATTAAAATATTTGCAAATCTTAGTATTTCTTCAATAATTGTTTCTTCTACTTGCTTTAAAATAAAGTCAGGTATTATAATTAGTGAATGGAAACACTTACCTAATTGCAAACAAGCTAATGATGCCTTTGGCCAACTCATCTTTGATGAGGCTTCAAAGTGATAGCAATGACCACGGAATGGAATCCAAGATTTCTCCACTGCAAGTGGGCAGTTTCCTGGTTCTTGAGGTGGTACAGTAGGTGGAAACACTGTTTTTAAAAGCAATATAATGTTTAATTCTAATTAATTTATTGAAATATTATTTGAGGAACCTTGTCAAAACTACAGTGTTTTTAGTAAGCATCCTTGTCCTTTTTACTTTTATGTTATTGTTAACTTTTTTAGTTTTACACCAACAGGAAAATATAGAGATTTAATTAGATTATTGTTTTGATTTGATATGATTTGTCAATCGCTTACAAGATAATAGGTATAAGTATAAACATAGCTATGAATACATGAAATGGATACATATAAGAAAAATAAAAGAAACAATATAACAGGGATGGTAGGCACGCCGGTGCACTTATGCACGCCCCCATTTTTTTATAGTGACCACATTAATTGTGGTTACTATCTTTACACTTCTACAAATATACTGCTTAGTATATGCACTGGTGGATGTATATCTATTCCTAATATGCTCTTTTTTGGCATACAGTCATTGACTCCAAATATAGATCACAAAACTGAAAGAATGCAGCATGTGAAAAATAATTGTGTTCCAATCTGTAGAGTAGTCTTTTAAAGTCAAACTATCTAAAGAGCAGACTGAGTTTTCAAGCCCCTTTCCTCCTTAGAAACTGTTTATAGTTCACAAACTGACTTAACTGGAATAAAAAAGGCAGAAGTCTTCCCATCCAGGTAAGGTTTAAGGGGCAGGTCTTCTCCTAAACATTATCAGAGCTATACATGTTGCATTTATTTATTTTTATGTTTACATATTAGAATTCCTTACTCCTTCTATTTTCCCCACAATAACAGCTATGTAAAGGTGAATTAGGTTGAGAGAGAGTGACTGGTACAAAGTCATACACCTGGCTTTCATGCCTAAAGCAGGACTAGAACTCCCAGTCTCCTGGTATCTAGACCAGCATTTTAACCATCATATAAAATAGTCTTTCCAGTCTTAAGCTAAATAATGAATACGCTCTACATCAGAGGAATAAAATTTGGAATCCACCCCCTTCCCCACATTGCTAAATTACAACTCTTAGTAAGCATCAATATTATTCATGCTGACAAAGGCTGCCTGGCATATATGTTACTATGTGCAGTCTATTATATTCCCAAAGTCTTTAAAAATTAGAGTTGTGCAAAATTTCACAGCTTAAATGGAGGTACATTCCCTTCAAAAAGTAATCTAAATGTCTATGGCACCATTTCTAAATTATTCCAATTTGTAGCAGTCCAACATACCTACAAGATGCGAAGGCTGGAGAAAACTGCTTTAGTCTGAATATGAAACCATGAACAAAAATCTTAACCTATCCTTCAACTTACCTTTGGGATATTTGCAAAGAGGAAAATTCTTTTTATTGCATGAATCTGTCTTCCAGGTCCCATCCAAGTCCATATAAACGCAGCCTAATTTTTGTTTTGGTTCATTTGCTGCCCATTTAGTATATTTCATCCGGAATTTATCAATCCATATATATTGCCCACCAGTCTAAAAAAACCAACCAACAAAAACCACACATTGAATGAGAGACATATTTCTTATGAGATACACTATAATTGAGCACGTTAGGCTGATCTAGGAATGTTACATTATTGCTGCCCTGGAAATAGATCCTGTCAGATTTTAGTCTTTTTTTGCAGTAACAACTGCAATCCAATATGAAATATGAATAGTAAATGCAATGTAGGTTGGTTTTTATAGATGATTTCACAACAGCACTAAGCCTTCACGCTTGCTGTCATGAACCAAGAGAATTCTTTGGTTTCAAATTCCAATTCCCAATAACTTTGCCAAATGTCAAATGCTCATGAAGTCATTTATAAATTTAGTTCATAATTAAATTCTGACTTTTAGCAGTGGAAAGAACAAGAACTGCTTCAGAAAAAGGTTTGCTTACTTTGTTATTTAGTCTGTTCTGAGAATCCACATGCTATATATTAGTATCATTTTGAACTTGGCCACTAAGAATGTATTTAACAAATATATGATTAAAAACACTGGCATATTACCAATATGTTTCAAGGTAGAATTCAAGATGCTGGTAATTACATATATAGCCCTACATAACTTGGGACCAGGAATCTGAGGGATCATCTTTTTCAAAGAGTTTCTATGTATCCAATTGGATCAAATAGGATGGGCATGCTGCAGATCCAGTCAGCCAAAGAATATTCTAGAGACTAGAAGATGAGCTTTTTCTGCAGCAGTGTCTGCTATGTGGAACGTCCTCCATCCCGAGAGATTGGAATGGCCCCAACTCTGTTACTCTCCCTTAGCCTTGAAAGACCTGGGTATGCTCCTGGACATTTTGTTAACAGACCATATGTTTTGCTTTGAAAGAATTCAAATTAGACATTGTCATGTTTTTTAGCATTTTAATGGCTTTTACTGTTTTTGTTGTTTTAAAACACTTTTACCATTTTAATTGTACTTATATGTTTTGAACTGTGAGCCACCCACAGTTGTTTGCTGAAAGGGGTGGCTATAGAAATCAAATCAATTCAACAAATAAATAATTAAATATTAGTATGTGTAGACCCTAGCCTAGGAGGGCAAAATCATATTAGACTGACTGGAAGGTATAGCAAATAGTCATTTCATTCATCTGCAGTAGTTTTCTAACTTTCATTTCCACTGAATGGAACAACTGCTACCCAAAATTAATAGCATATTCTTGAATGCTCCAAAATAATTGAACAAATAAAAATTTGAATGGGTAGAACTTTGTGGACTGATACAAGTTTCATTTACCAGATTACTGTTGAGGCCAAGCCATACAATCCTTTTTTGTTTTAGTTTTAGCCAGAGATATGAGAGGCTAAAGGGATCTAAAATGCTAGCAAGACTCGAGTCTCTCCTTTCACAACTTTGTTTTGCATCTTCCCATGTCATTTTGGCTTCAATTATGAAGTAGCTGCTATTTCTATAACGGAACCGCTGCTCTGGGGTGGTGGATGGAAGAAAAGAATATTTGGGGTCTACAAAAGAAAAAGAACATTGTAAGGCTCTTTTCAAAAATATGAAGACATAAAATGCAAAATGAGAAAACCCCTTTTCAGACATACAGGGGAAATGGTGTTCGGGGTAAATTGACATTTGTTTTGGGCATAAAATGAGAAGTGTGTTTTTATTTCAGGGTTAAAGCAAATAGCCCCATTTGAAACACTTTCAGGTATTTTGGTCATAGAAAACAGTGGGAAGTTTGAACGAAGCCCACTGCTCCCTGTTTTTTTTTTAAATTTATTTATTTAATGACTGGGTAATAAATATGACACCTACACACTTCTTGGCTGGACTAATGCAATTCACTCTGCATGGGATTGTCCTTGAAGATCACTCAGAAGTTACAGTTAGTCCCAACTGCAGCAGCTCAAGTAAGGAGATTAACTGGGAGATTAACCCAGTTACTCAGTAAGTGCAATTCAAGATGGTAATTGTCACTCTTAAAGCACTGCATGGATCAGGACCAGGGTTGGGCTGCTGGGGGTTCACAGGGGTTCGGGAGAGCCCCTAGCTAAGATTCTGTGCAGTTCGGAGAACCCCCAATCCCACACCTGGCTGGCCCCTCCCACCCCTCCCAGGAGTCCCCATGCAGACCATTTTGGATGCAGGTAAGTGCAGGGTGCACATGGATGCTCGGGGAGGGCAAAAAACAGACTTCCCAGAAGTTTGGGAAGGCTGGAAATGGCATGTTTCCAGCTTCCAGAGAGCCTCCAGAACCCAGGGAGGCCATTTTTGCCCTCCCAGAGGGTTGAGAAAAGCCTCTGGAGCCGGAAAGGGCAAAAATGCCCCCTTTACCATGGTATAGGAGGCTGACTAGGCTACTCCCACCATGGCCACGCCAACTCAGCAACCAGGCAGAGAACCCTTTGCTAAAAATTTTGAAGCTCACCCCTGATCAAGACTTAGGTATCTTTGAGATCATCTGCTCTGAATAAAAGTTTGCCTATCTAGTGAGATCTGGTAGACCAGACTGGCTTTAGGTCTCATCACCAAGGACCACATAGGAGAACATTCTCCCTGGTCATATCTCTTCCCTGGAACAAAAGATTCTTCAAAATATGTAAAGTACTGGCAGTTAGTGACTGATAAAATTTTACATTGAATGAATCATGCATTTTTACTTTATTATTGCATTAATCAAATGTTATGCTTCTTGGTCATTTTTCAAGTGGAGAGGCATGTCTTAGTAAATAAATAAAACACCTAATTATTATTCACACCATATTTATATTCTGAGATTTAAAAATCATCATGGCCTTGTTGTATCGAAACATTGAAGGGAAAAGTTAGAGATTTTTAAATCAAAGAAGGCTTTTCCTTTCAAAAAGAAAAAAAGGTGAGGAAACAAAAATAAGCAAAATACTCACGAACGTCGGCTTGGCATATGTACCCTTTCTTATAGTAGCAATAACTATTTATCCATAAGCCTGCACTTTTGTAAGGCAATGATTTCATTGCAATACAATCTTCCTATATGAAATGGAAAACAATAAATGTTGAATGTGGTATGAATAAACTCCTTAATTCCTCAATCATGCCAATTTAAAAGCCATGGGAAAACAGGGGAAGTTGGCAGAGAACGTTATAGGTAGTCCTCAATTTAAAACCACTTGTTTAGGGACCATTCTAAGTTACAACAGCACTGAAAAAAATCGACATGGGACTAGTCCTTACAACCATTGCAGTATTTTCCACAGTTACATGATCCATATTGGGACACATGGTGATCAACATATATTTACACTGTTATAGTATCCTGGGGTCATATGATCACCATTTGCAACATTTCCAGCAGGCTTCTGTCAAGCAAAGTAATGGGGAAAGGCAGATTCACTTATGACACTTAGTGATGACTGCAATGACTTGATTAACAACCTTGATTTTTTTAAAAAAGGTTGTAAAATTGATCATGATTCATTTAATTGGAATTTCTGGTTCCAATTGTGGCCATAAATCAAGAACCTCCTGTACAGAATGAATCACCATGGTTTCCAGAAATATGCAAAAGTAAGAATGTCACATACCCATGATATCGCTAATCAAATGGTGCAAATGGTAAATCCCACCCACCTACTCTCCAATTAAAAGGTAGGTGTAGCTCCGCAGGATGTTCTTGGAAACATAGTTGGATGTATTTCTCAAGATATGAGATAGAATAAGGAAATACCAGCTGTAATAGCTGCTCTTATACTGTATGCTGCCTTAGTATGAGACCTGCTATGTATCAAGGCAATTCACAAAGGTAGCCTATTTGTTTTCCTCACAGAGGACAGAAGATCAGCTTTTGCCTGGGTAACAATCAGAACAATCACTTCCCCAGTTACTATCCTTAACTGTTTTCTCCAGCCTGTCCCTCACTTGTCCCTGCTAGCTGATTATTTAGATCAGCAAACTGGCTAGCAGATTCTGGGGGTTAAAACTGAGACTTCGTACAGTTGCCAAGGTTGAGAAACACTGCTTTAAGTCCTGCTGTCAAATGCAGTACCTCAAGATTTAATTTTCAACATTGCTTCTGCTGATCTATTCTGCTGAGAGAGATGTGCAATGGAGCTGAAAGGTGCTTCAGACTTCATGCGGGGGTGGACTGCTACCGGTTTGTACTGGTTCGGCAAACTGGTTATTAATTTTATGGCCAGTTCAGCAAACTGGCAAATCCCACCTCTGGCTGGCTCTGCCCATCCTGCCCTGCCCCTCCCAGGAGTCCCTGTGTGGCCCATTTTGGATTGCATGTAAGTGCAGAGCCATGTGGAGGCTTGAGGAGGGTGAAAAACGGGCCTCCTGGAAATTCTAGAAGGCTGGAAATGGGCCTGTTTCTCCAGAGAGTCTCTGGAGCCCTGGGAGGTCATTTTCACTCTCCTGGAGGCTCGAGGAAAGCCACTGGAGCCTGGGGAGGGTGAAAAATGGGCCTCACAGAAGTTCCAGAAGGCTGGAAACAGGCCCATTTCCAGTCTCCAGAGACCTTCCGAAACCCGAGGAGGCCATTCTCACCCTTTCAGGAGGTCATTTTCACCCTCCTGAAATCCTCCAAAGCTGGGGAAGGCTGGAAACAGGAAGGCTGTTTTCAACCTCCAGAGCCCAAGGAGGGCAAAAACGCCTTCCCTCCCACAGCCCATTTTCACTCCCAGAGTGGTGCAGGAGGCCAATTACGCCATGCCCACCATGGCCATGCCCACCCAGCCTCCAGGCAGAGAACCAGTTGTTAAATTTTTGAAGCACCCCTGACTTCATGGGATGCTAACATAGGCCCTGTCCTCAACTCTTTAAAGCAGCCCCACTTTTTCCTGTGATTGCTTAGCTGCCATCTGCAGTTACAACATAATTCTGAGAAAAGATATACATCTAGTTTTAGAAACTGTAAGTGTGCTTCTAGATGCCTTCAAATCTGAATCAAAACAAAACAAACCAATAATCACTAGTAGTTATCCATAAAATTATTTTGCCTATTTATGTTGCTTTTTTTCTTCTCATCATATGAATCTAATTTAAGACTCATATAACACAGGTTGAAGGGAAAAAGACAAAGCAAGGAAGTTGGGAGACGTTTCCAGATTCCAACCTGTAGTCAAATACCTACACTGTTTGGCCCATAACTCAGTGGGAATCCTTTCTCCCAGTTTGTGTAACTGACTCCTCTTCCATTTGTCCAGAGGTACATTTGATCCTCATTGATGTCATTTAGTCCTATCCATACATCACTTTGGAATTTATTTAAATGGAAGGTGAGAAAAGCTAAAAAGAAAGTGTAGTGGAAGAATAATGCGATCAAAGAATGTAGACATACCTAACATTTGGGACAGCATGAAACCAAAGCAAATACTTAATCAAATAAGAATTTTGAAATGGAATAAAACATATTGAATCGTAGACTTGAATAAATGCATAATGAGTATATGAAATAAAAATTACTGAAGTCTGAAATTTGGTTTGGAAAATGAATTGTGAGAAATAAATAAGCACACCTGGAGTTATAATTCTACTGAGCTACTGCTTTTAGATACATCAATTTGCCATTATTGACACAAGTGAGCTCAAGCTTTTATAATGTATATGAATAGCACATGTATTTATGTATTGATTAAAATATTTTAATCTCCCTTTGATCCTACATCAACACAACTGAATCATAAAACGTATGTGTGGGTGTGTTATCAATGGGTATAGCACCTCAATCACAGAAGCCACTCTGAATTATTTACACATTTTATGACTGCAAAAATCTATAAATATTATGGTTGTGTAAATACTTGGAAAGTGATGTGTTTCAGTGTTCAAGAGCACATATAAAGCATCTTTTTTTTCAAATTGTTAAAGCAGCCTTGGCTTTTTCAGGGCTGTTCCTAGCTGAATTAGCATGAATAGTCAATAGGGAAAATGCAAAGCAAAGCAAAGCAAAAATTTTGCACATCTCTAATAAATATTTATAGCACAAGGGTGACAAACTCGCATTGTCACATGATGTATTGTAATTTTTTTCTCTTTGCTAAACTGGATGTGGGCATGGACAGAACATGAAATATATGTCCCATGGATTGCAAATTCGACACTACTGATATAGCAGGCAATTCCTTCGTTCCTTTGCTTTTAGTATGAAAACGAACATTTGAAACTTTCTTCTGTAATTTCTAACAAATCACAATTTTCCATTTTATTTTAAAGATGAAAAATGACTTTTACAACCATATGTGCTTGGATGCAAACACAGGTTCATCATTATGTCTACTTAACGGTAAGAAAATCAAAGAGGAGGAAGAAAATCCTAGCAGTAATAATAAAGGGGAAAATATCAATTAAGGTATTATAACTTTTCATTTAAAATTCCAGGTTCAAACTAGTATTGTAAGCTCCATAGAAGTAGTCAGGTAGTATTATCAATGGCATATTTGTTCCATAAAACATAATCACCCCAAAGATGATGTTAAATTTCACAAGTAAGTAAACTTTTATTAATTGATATAGTGGTTATATACCTTGTACCCTTTTATTGAGTATTGCAACAAGGTTTCCTCCAAATTCTTCTTTCTGACAATCTTTCCGTGCATTTTTCCAATTTTTCTGGTCTTCTTGATTAATTCCAAAGAATTTATAACACTTTTTTAAAAAAAAAATCCAAATACAAAGATAAAGACAAATAAAATTAAAGATTTATTATTTGTTTAGAAATGTATATGGTCACAGACAATAAAAACAACAATAAAACACAATTTAAAAACCAAACAATCAGGAGAAAAAACAACAACAGTGAGAAGTAAAACATATTACCCATTTTGATTCCTTTTTGATCCAAAACCTGAGGGAAAGCCAAGTTATCAAGATGTAGACTACGCAGACCTATGCTGGGGAAGTCATCTAGAAATCAGTGTTTGCAAAAGAGAGCAATCTCCCAAGTGCTTTTCTAAATACATTCACCTGGATTTTGAGTAGCAGCATCTAATTCTTGATTAATGATTAGATTACTATTACTATTAATCTTCTTATCACTTCTTATCGCCTATCCCCTCCCACTTGTGACTGTATGACTGTAACTTTGTCGCTTGTATCCTTATGATTTATATGGACTGTTTCTTAGTATGATTCGATTGCTTATTGTACCCTATGACTATCATTAAGTGTTGTACCTTATGGTTCTTGACTCTTGATGAATATATATTTTCTTTTATGTATACTGAGAGCATTTGCACCAAGACAAATTCCTTGTGTGTCCAATCATACTTGGCCAATAAAAAGAATTCTAATTCTAATTTTTGTCCCTTCTTTGTTTATATGTAACTCAAAGTGGAGAACATTTATATTACTCCTTTCATGCCTAAGGAGGGGGAAATTATAATTCAATCTTCTGGTTTCTAGACCAGATCTTAATCATTATACCAAATCAAATCAACCTTTATTGTCAGAGTACAATATGCGTACAATGAGATTGGCTGAGTCTCCCTTCGTGTACCCCCCCCGCAACACAACTCACAGTGAAGGCAAAAAAGAAAAATCCCTAACCCAGTGAATCCTACAAACAAACACACTATCTTATTGCACCATGTGAATTTATTGCACAATGTACCAATAATTGGCTTTATTATAAAATTAACTGTATTGGTTGATTTTGAAAATTTGGATCTGGTTGGTACTTGGAAATTGACATGTATCCTCTATTATAGGGGTGTCAAATTGGCAGCCTGCGGGCTGGATACGGCATGTGCAGGCCACACCCACCCCATCTCCACGAAGGGAAAAAATGTTGTGAAAAAATCCCAGGATGGCAACGCGATGCCCCGAGTTTGACACCAGGCTCTACAGGGAAATAAAAAGAAGATTCCAGAAAACCACTAGGACAATGTGTTTCCTTATTGCTGCCAAAGAAAGTACAGCAGCTGATATAGCTACCTCTGGAGGGAGGGGCAAAGAGAGCCAAACCTATAAAACCAGTGTAACAACATTAGCCCTATCCATTTGCATATGTGCATTGAAATGATGCACAAATGGATGAAATGGACTGAGCTTGCAAGATGATAATGTTGCAGAGCTAGTGCCATTTCAAGAAAAGTAGTAAGTACATTCCAACCATGTGATTCTGTTATTTTGCAAATGACATGGACACTCAAGTTTAATGTGAAGGAGCCTTGTACTGGTATGTGGGAAAGACTTTGGGAGACTGTATGTTTGTGAAGATATGCTGCCTAGGGAATTATCAGATAAGAGACAACATGGTAGTGCTGGATAGTATGCAGAAAAAGAGGCTCAGAAGGGACTTTACCTACATCCTTGGCCAGTAAAGGTGATAATAGAAGAATTGTACTTTCAGATTTTCAAGATTTGCTCATGTAGCTTTACAATAAAGTAGAATTAGTTTATCTGGTCAAGTGTACCATGTAGTTTACATGATAAGGTTGATGAGTGTTTACCTTTATTTTATGTACATATGCACAAAATTCCTCTGTGATACCATCTTTTCAAGGCATTTATTTTAATTGCCTAAAAAAATCTTCCATAGAAAATCCCTCTTGTCTTGTTATCTTTTTGTTTCTTTGAGTGATTCTTTTTTTTAAGGGAAAGAAATAATTACTGCACCTTGTTTTCAAACAAAAGCCAAGATTCAGGGCATCCTCCTTTAATGGAAGGTGGTGTAGGAGCAATAGTTGCATTGATTGAGTTATTATGTCTTTCACATATGAAAGAAGATGGATATCCACAGTTTATATCATTCCAAAGTCCTAAGCAAGATAAAATAAATGGTTGAGCAGGGGAAGGGGACTACAGAGTGGTCAAACAGTCAAGAAAGTACACACAACCATGCAATTAAAGCCCCACACATTTCTAATGTATCATGACAATAGGTAAAATCAAATTTTACCTACAACTTCATGACCTGCTATTGCATCTGTTCACAAATAAGGAGATCATTAGAGAAGCATTTATCAAGAACAGGGGTGTCAAACTCGCATCATCCTGGTGTCATCATGTGACGTATCATGATTTCCTGCCCCCCTTCGCTATTTGATAATGGCTGCTAGATTAGTGATGGCTAAATATTGGGGACAAAATTAGGATATTCAAAGAAATGAGTGGTATAATGAAATTTAGAGTATGGCAACAAATGATAAATTAACAACAGAAATAAAGGGATGATTTAAGTAAACAATTTTAATGAAGGCAAAGGGAATAAACCTACTCAAGAATATATGTCATTTTGGATAAGGGCACAATTGGAATATATAGTAAATCTGTTAATTGTTATAGAAGAATTATAAGAAAAAAATGGTCTCCAGGAGTGGGGTGCACTGTAATATTTGCATTTTTCTTTTTCTTTTTTCTTTGTATTTAGATGTATATGTATTATGTTTGTATTATTTGTATTTAAAATAAAAATATTAATTAAAAATAAAAATAAACCAGATTTGGGCATGGCCAGCATGTGACGCATCTGGCCCCAGGGGCCACAAGTTTAACAGCCCTGATCTAGATAATCCACAACCCTGGATTCATCCATGCTAGAAGTGAATTGAGGTCACTATATTGATGGGTGTCCTTCATGGATCACTGCCTTGTCATGACGAAGGGGCTTGCATAGCACAATGAAGCTATGAGCTATGCCATGCAGGGCCACCCAAGACAGACAGGTCATAGCAGAGAGCTCTGACAAAACTTGATCCACTGGAGAAGGAAATGGCAACCTACTCCAGTATCCTTGCCATGAAAATCCCATGGACAGGACCGAAAGGCAAAAAGATATGATGCTGGAAGATGAGCCCCATAGGTCAAAAGGTGTCCAAATACTACTGGGGAAGAGCAGAGGGCTAGTAATAGAAGCATCAGAAAGAATGAAGCAACTGGGTCAAAGTCGAAAGGATGCTCAGCTGTGGGTGTATCTGGTGGTGAAAGGAAAGTCCGATGCTGTAAAGATCTATATTCCTTAGGAACCTGGAATGTAAGATCCATGAATCAAGGCAAGCTGGACATGGTCAAACAAGAGATGGCAAAACTGAACCTCGACAATAAAAGTGAAGGAAAAGCAGTAGTGGGATACAAACCCCAAAACGACAGAATGATCACAGTTTGAATCCAAGGCAAACCATTCAACATCATAGTAGTCCTGGTCTATACCTCAACCACTGGCACTGAAGAGGATAAAGTTGACCAGTTCTATGGAGCCCTACAATACCTTCAAGAATTAACACCAAAAAATGATGTCCTTATCATCATGGGGATTGGAATGCTAAAGTAGGAAGCCAAAAGATAACCAGAATAACAGGCAAGTTTGGCCTATAAAATGAAGCAGGGCACAGACTGGTAAAATTTTGTCAAGAGAATACGATGGTCATAACAAACACTCTTTTCCAACAATCCAAGAGACAACTCTATACATGGACATCACCAGATGGTCAACACAGAAATCAGATTGACTGTGTGCTCTGCGGCCAAAGTTGAAGAAGCTCTATACAGTCAGTAAAAACAAGACCAGGAGCTGACTGTGACTCAGATCATGAACTTCTTGTTGCAAAATTTAGGCTTAAATTGAAGAAAGTAGGGAAAAGCACTAGGTCACTCAGGTATGAACTAAATCATATCCCTGATGAATATACAGCAGAGGTGACAAATAGATTTAAGGAATTAGATCTGTTAGACAGAGTGCCTGGAGAATTATGGATGGAGGTTCGCAACATTGTACAAGAAGTAGCGACTAAAATCATCCCAAAGAAAAAGAAATGCAAGAGGTCAAAATGGATGTCTGAAGAAGCTTTACAAATAGCTGAGGAAAGAAGGGACGCAAAAGGCAAGGGAGAAAGAGAAAGATACACCCAATTGAATGCAGAATTCCAGAGAATAGCTTGAAGAGATAAGAATGCATTCTTAAATGAACAGTGCAAAGAAATAGAAGAAAACAATAGAATAGAGAGGACCAGAAATCTCTTCAAGAAAATTGGAGATATGAAGAGAACGTTCCATGCAATGATAGGCATGATAAAGAACCAAAATGGCAGGGACCTAACAGAGGCAGAAGAGATTAAGAAGTGGCAAAATTACACAAAATTATACAAGAACAAGTATAATGTCCCCAATAACCATGATAGGGTGGTCATTAACCTTGAGCCAGTCATCCTGGAAGGGGCAGTCAAATGGGCCTTAGGAAGTCTGAGCAACAACAAAGTTAGTGGAGGTGACAGTATTCCAGCCGAACTATTCAAAATCTTAAAAGATGATGCAGTAAAAGTGCTTCGCTCAATGTGCCAGCAAATTTGGAAAATTCAACAGTGGATTGGAAAAGGTCAGTTTACATTACAATTCCAAAGAAGAATGCTCCAACTACCATACTATTGCACTAATTTCACATGCTAGCAAAATTATGCTCAAAATACTATGGTTTTCTTGGTTGTAATGTAAAAGTTGGACCATAAGGAAGGCTGTCCAAGGCTCCTGCAAGTCCCTTGGACTGCAAGGTGATCAAACTCATCAGTCCTAGAGAGATCAACCTTGACTGCTCTTTAGAAGGCCAGATCCTGAACATGAAATTCAAATACGTGGCCACCTAATGAGAAGAAAGGACTCACTGGAGAAGAGCCTAATGCTGGGAAAGACTGAGGGAAAAAGAAGAATGGGATGGCAGAGAATGAGGTAGCTGGATGGAGTCACTGAAGCAGTCGGCATGAGTTTAAATGGACTCCAGGGGATGGTAGAGGAAGGCCTGAAGAAACGTTGGGGCCATGGGGTCGCGATGGGTTGGACATGACTTCGCAACTAACAACAACGAGTATTGGTGGGTGTCTCACAAGACAGCATTGTCTCCAGATGCCTCTTAGCCTGCATATTACTCAGACTGTATAGTCTGCATAACTTGTCCCATTGGGAATTTGTCCCATAAGGAATTTATTCCTTTCTATTTTATTTACTACTAAAGAGCAACATTATTTTAGTTCTTAAGAAACTACTTGAAAAATACAAGTTAATGATGAAGAACTAATGGAATTCTAGATTCTATATCCATATATTCTGAGCTCAGAATAATGATCAGGCAAGTGCGTTCATATTTTCTGCATTGTGAAGTATGTCACCATTACTAAAAACATGAATTTTAGAATACATACAGAAATATACCTGAAACTGGTATAATCAATTAGCAAGCCACATACCTGTAGTCCTGTAAATGACCACACAGTTTTCATCATTGTTTGCAAAGTTAGGTTCATGTGGTGCCCAGGCAACATATTGGACAGGAGTTCCATCCATCCAGCTTTAAGACAAGTTATTGTAAATCAGTGTAAAAGCAAAATCTCCCATTAGAACAGTGTTTCTCAAATCTAACAACTTTAAAATATAGTAAATTCAGTTTCCAGAATTCCCCAACCAGCGTTCCCCAGCCAGAATTCTGAGATTTGAAATGCATACATCTTAAAAGTTGCCAAGTTGAGAAAAACTACATCATAATGAGATCATGCACAGGGAACCCTTTCCCCTACTGGAAATTATGGATGGAAACTAATCAAGGAGAGAAAAAATCTAGAACTAAGGAGACCTTCAGAACAATTAATCAGTGGGTCAACTTGCCTCCAGAAGTTGTGGGTGTTTCAACACTGGAAGTTTTTAAGAAGATATTGGACAACATTTGCCTGAAATAGTATAAGGTTTCCTGCCAGAGCAGGGGATTAGACTAGAAGACTTCCAAGGTCTCCTTCTATTCTGTTATTCAATTCTGTTACTCTCTGCATGGAGCAATAAGGACAATATGTCATGTGAAGTGGTCCAATGAATTGGGCTTTCCTAGATGAAAATCCTAATTGTCTATATGAGGATAACAAAACAAACAAGAATAAACTTATATACTGCGATAAAATGGAGTGTTTTCTGTTTGCTCACCTGGATACTTTATCAAGGCTCAGTTGCAGTGCAATGAAATAACTATTCACCTGTTCATTTTGTAAGATCTAAAGAATCAGAACAAAAGGCCATCACATATATTTGTAACCTGTGAATTATGTCTCAAGCAAGAATATATTGAGCTTTAAGAAATTATTTTAGAAAACAAACATCTTTCCTTTAAGAAAAAAGCAATAAAAATTGCTTATAGTCCAGTTATTGACTCCAAAAAAAATGTTTATGACCCTGTAATCAGTTCCTGTAATCAGACCCTGCATTCGTACTGCTTTGGTCGCTGAAACGGTGGTGACCCCTGTCTGGCCATGCCCCCAACCCAGTTGTCCGATCATTCACTTGCCTTGTCACTCTCCTAGCTTTCCCTACCACGTGGCAGCCATGGTGCAACTCAGGTGGATGTCCCACAGCTGCTGCACATGCACACTGTGGGCATGTGCAGCAGCCCCTGGACATCCGCCCACCTGCCCACCCTCACGGAGCACACTTTCTTCCTTCTTCTGGCAGACTGCATCTCTTCCAGCCCAGCTTGGCCAGCGAGCAGGTGACCACATGTCCAGCCACCCCCTTTTCAGAGCAAGAAGCATCCCCCAATCAGCCAGCTGCTCTCCTCCTTCTCTGCCTGTTTGTTCTGTATGGCCGAGGAGGAGGAGAGTAGTGGCTAGTTGAGGGAAGCTTCTTGTGCTATGAAAGAGGTGGCTGGAGACCAAAAAAGAGTCACCTCCAACCACCTCTTTCACAGTGCAATAAGTATCCCCCAACTGGCCAGCTGCTCTCCTCTTCCTCGGCCATACAGAGCAAACAGGCAGAGAACGAGGAGAACAGCCAAGTGGTTGCTCTGAAAAAGGGGTAGCTGGAGGCGACTCTTTTTCGGTATCCAGCGGCCTCTTTTGGAGTGCTGCACCACTCCACTCACACTTGCTTGGGCAAGTCCCTCCAGTGCAGCGGACTCAATGGGGTGGACCTGCGTGCCATGGACAGTGCCTAGAATGTGGCTGTGGTGGCACATTGGAGAAGCGGAGCAAAGCTGCTGCAAGAAGCCTATAGCCACTGTGTCTTTTTTTTTTTTTTTTTGGTGCAGGAAAGTAAGGTTTCAGGCACTCAGGATAGCCAAACCCAAGCTATTTAGCCCAGAGCTGCCGGCGGGGAGGGGGCCAGTTTGAATTTCCCAGCCCCAAAAGCAGGAGGGGAGGGAGTCCCACCCACGGTCCCTTTGTTGGATCCAGAAGCCTTCCCTGCCAGCTTTTTCAGGCAATGCAGGACTGGAGACTGGCTGGGAAGAACTCTCGTAATGAGCGATGCTGCCGGGCACTTGGATGTGTGTGTGTGTGTTTGTTTGTTTCAGGTGAGTGCTTGGAAGTGTGTGTGTTTGTTTCGGGTGGCACTTGGAAGCGTTTGTGTGTTTGTTTCTTTGTTTCAGGTGGGTCTCCTCTCCTAGCTTTAGAAGGAGAGAGGGAAGGAAGAAGGGAAGGGATAAAAAGAGAGGGAAAGAGAGAGAGAGAGAAAGAGAGGGAGAGGGAGAGGAAGGGAAAGAGAGAGAGGAAGAGAGAGGGAAAGAGAAGGAGAGAGAAAGAAAGAGGGAGGGAGACAGAGAGATAGAGAGAGAAGAGAAAAGAAAGAAAAGAAATAGAAAAGAGAAAGGAAGAAAAGGGATAGGCAAAGAAAGGTGGGATGGAAGGAAGGGAGAGAAAGAAGGAGGGAGGGAGGAGAAATAGAATGAGATATATAGATGAATGGATGGATAGATAGATACGTGGAAGGAGGAAGGAAGGGAGAGAGAAAAAAGGAGAGGAAGGAGGGACACAAACCCTGGCTTCAGAAGACTCTTTGAAACAGCACAGCAATCTAGGGCTGGAAGGGATCTCAGAGGTCATCTTCTACCCTGTTTCTCCAACAATACGGCCTCCCCCAATAGGAAGTCCCAGCATGTTTTATAGGCATGAAATGAAATTAAGCCCCTCCCCCAAATTAAGGCCTATATTAAAACATGCGAAATGGGGGGGGGAATGGGGGGGGCTTGCCATTAGGAAGTACTTTTGTTGCACACCCGGATATGGTGCTGCCTGCGTTGACCCCGATACAAAGTGCCCCACCAACGCTGAGGTCAACATCCAAGCCGTCACTGCCCGCCCGCCCGAAGATGCAAGGGGGGGAATTAAGTCACCCCTGAAAAGACGGCCTAGTCATTTTTTCGGGGCTCAAAAAAAAAAAAAAGACCTGGCCTTATTATATGAGAAACACCAAGGGTCTTCAAACTTGGCAAGTTTAAGACTTGTGGACTTCAATTCCCAGAATTCCTCAGCTAGCATGACTGGAGGAGGAATTCTGGGAGTTGAAGTCCACAAGTCTTAAAGCTGTCAAGTTTGAAGACCTCTGTTCTAGACCAACCCCTGTTCCAGCAGGAGATCCTTACAGAATAATAGAATAGCAAAATTAGAAGGAACCTTGGAGGCCATTTAGTCCAACCCCCTTCTCCAGCAGACCTTATATCATCTGGAATATGTATTATTTTGATGCCTCTAACAGAGAGGAAAATTGGCAGAGGAGTTTACTAGGACAAGGCTGCCATGCAAAGGAAGGCAGAGATAGTCCTTCACTTATGACCACAATTGAGCCCAAAATTTTGGTTGCTAAGCAAGAATGTTGTTAAGTGAGTTTCACCACATTTTACTGAATCCATGATGTCTCCTGGGTCTAACATTCATGTGCATGTTAGGGAAGTAAATCTGAAGGCATGTGCAATGTTCTAATGTACAGAAATTATAGTTAAATGTGTGGCAGTAAGTGGACTATGGGTGTATTTTTCCAAACACAGTGAGGTTGAATGTGTATAGTTTTAAAAGAGCTCTGTGTGTTTGTGTGTGTGTGTTTGTGTGAGTGTGTGTGTGTGTGTGTGTGCTACAATATATATAGTAGATCATGTATCTTTTTGTGTGCCTATACACATACTATATTATGTAATATGTATGTACACATATGGCATATATACATAGAATTAAATAGTGTATTTTGGATGTTCAGTAGTAGTAAATAAATAGAGAGGGAAATTGTATCTCTTTGAGGCCAGGCAAGGCACCTCTTGATGTGAGTGACATCAAGTTGGCCCCGCCCACCCAGTCACATGACCACCAAGCCACACCCACCAAATAAGCCATGCCCACAGAACCAGTAGTAAAAACAAAATTGAATCCCACTACTGCCTGTAATCTCTTGATTCAAGATGGAATCAGGGCAACTGAATGGAGATGAACGTTTACTGGTATTGGCTCCTAAATAAAAGTTGAAGAAATATTGTAACACCCCAGCTCCAGCCTTTTCTTTTTGTATTCCATAATATGGGTTTTTGTAACTTTTATCAATGGCCATTGCTTTATTACAGGCATACTTGATAAAATTTTAATTCTTACCAAGGTACAACTCTGGCAGTTTGTTTATCAAACCAGATAAAATCAAGAATCAGATTATTTTAGCGGTATAATTTCTCCAATAAGGCGGACAGATGCCTTAAGGAGATTTTCAAAAGAGGATTATAAAGAATGGAATAGGATCTTCTGCTTGAACTTCTAGGTTGGACTGGAAGACCTCCAAGGTCCCTTCCAACTCTGTTATTCTTTTAAGCCAGTCTAACCTGACAACAGATGGATGACTTGTTGGGCACTAACATAAATCTTAATACGTAAATATTTTCCAGCTTTTAATTGCTATCATAAAGCAGAGTTTGTCAGTATCCAGTATTTGTTAACCTAGCATTTTGCTCCTTGATGAAAAAATACAAACATAACTATTTGTCTAAAATGATATGGGATTTCCTGATTGAGCAGCTGAACTAGAAGACTTCAAAGACCTTAATCAACTCAATGTTTCTGTTATTCTGTTATCCTACTCTGATTAAGAGGAATGGTTTTCTTGTGAAGATATTCAATAAAATTGATGTTGGAGCATGAAGGTGCCTATAGTATTTTGCCAACTAGATGGACCAATTAAATGAACCCAAGCTCATTTTATAATGGAGCCCATAGAAGTGTGGATGGGGAACCACCAGGAAACCCTAAACTTTATTGTGGCTCAAGGGATGGAGAGGCTTCTCTTACTGGGACTGGCATGGCTCCAAAAATGGAATCAATATGTTAACTAGAAGAAGTAATAGAAGAAAGCTGATGCATATGAAATATAGACCATCATATCTGAATTAAGTATTTTGATCTGAACAATTGTAGAATAGATACAATTTGTATGCTATTTAAATTTTAATTCACTAATGGGAAAAGCTCAAATATACTCATTTTACTCCATAACACAGTCTTTGTGCTTTAAATTTATGATGAAGGCTATGGTTATTGTAAGCCATCAGAAATCCCTGTCTGGAAGTCACCGAAATGCTTTAAATAAACTAAAAATAAGCAAAAATAAGCAAATAATACACATTAATTGTTCTCATGTCAGAAATAATAAATGAGCATCTTACATATTTCCAGATAAACTTCCTTTCAGTGTTATCTTCAATGACAAGCAAATCTCCAAAGTTTGTTTTGCAAAATGCACGGGCCTCTTCCATTGGAAATTTGTGGGTGTTGAAATAATACTGCTTGTCTTGATTGATGAGCCAGCCATCACTAGTAAATTTATAACCTATGAGAAATATTTCTTTACTTATTTACTTATATTTTTATTCCACATTTATTACTTAGTAACTTAAGACAGTCAAGGTACACAATACACTCTCCTCTTCCTATTTTCCTGCAACAAGAATCGTAGATGGTGAGTTAACAGAGAGTGACTGGCCCACCGTTACTCAGACAGGTTTCATGCTTAACATGGGACTAGAACTCATAGTATCCTGGCCAGCACTACACCAAGCTAACTCTCACATTCTGCGGTCCTAGTCAGCCAGCCAATCAGCAAACAACTTTCAGTTTATGAAAAAAAAATCTAACAATGTTACAAATGTTATCAATTTCAAGACTCAGTTTGGGGTATTCTCCTTCAGTCCAACTTAACTTTTAGGACTGTTGTGGTGAATCAATTAGGAGACAACCTCCCGATGTACACTGGAGCACAAATCATAATATAATATAAACAGGCATGGTGGAATTAAGCCTTTTCTTCTTGCATTGCAGCTAATAACAGATTGAGACTCTCCAACTTGTTAGGAAATGATAAAAGAACAAAAGAATAAAGGAGTTGGTAGGGACCTTGAAGATCCTTCTAGTCCATCCTCTATTCAGGCAGGAGACCCTATACCATTTCAGACAAAGGGCTGTCCAATCTCTTTTTTAAGAACCTCTAGTAATTAATTATGTAAATATCAAGCTTTTACATAATTAATATTCTGTCAGGAAATGTTTCCTTATTTCTAGATTGGTTTTCTCCTTGATCAGTTTCTACCTGTTACTTCTTTTTCTGCCTTTACGTGCTTTAGAAAATATGTTGATCCCCACTTCTTCACAACAGTCCGCCAAATATTGGAGCATTGCTATCATGTCACCCCTAATCCTTCTTTTCAATAGACTAGACATACCCAACTCCTGTAACCATTCTTCATCTTTATTGTTCTTCTCTGCACTCTTTCTAGAATCTCAGCATCTTTTTTTTATATCATGGTGACCAAAACTGCAGTATTCCAAGTGCGATCTTACCAAGGCATTATAAAGTAGCACTAACAGTTCATGTGATACGGGTTCTATCCCTGTTAATGCAGCTTAGGATTGTGGGCTTTTTCGACAGCTACAGCTGTATTCAATACCTGTGTATTTGGTGTTTTTCCCCTTTCCTAAGTATACAACCTTATTTTTCTCATCATAAAATTTCATTTTATTAGATAGGTCCCATTGTTCAAGACTGTCAATATCCTTCTGGGTCTTAAACCTGTTGTCTCTCTTATGTACAGGATCATTTCTTCTGGAATGTTTGTTCCTTACTATGTTCAGTTTGAATAAACTTTTTTTTACTTTGCTTGGAGTTTTTCATTGTAGTCTGAGTCTCATAGTATCTAGGCTTGCCTCTTGACCCTTGTTTTTTTCTTCAAATAGTTTATTTAGTTTACATTTGGTCCATATGTAATTTGGATCTTCTACGAGCATGAATACATACGTGGAAAATATTATGCAAATCACAGCAGCATCAATCTCTTTGTCCATGGGTTTGTTTTATCAATAGTTCATTTTAAAATTAAAAATTCCAAAACTTTTCAAAATTTTCAAAAAAATGTAAAATATTTTTCACAAATTTTAAAAATTCAAAAAGTTTACATTTAAAACTATTTTTCACTATTTCACTGCCCTCAACAAACTGCAAGAAATCAACATGTCAATGTACAAACTATGACATCATTATGCTGCCTTTACATACTTGTGTCCTACATTTAACACAGTATATAAGCAATGGCATTTGCATGATAATGCCACATTCCCACTTTGTCCTCAAGAAGACAATTTTAGCTCTATCATCAGCATAGAAACATTCCATCACAATAAATCATAGAAACGTACTTGGAGTAGGTGGATTTGTTGGTTCTGATTTTAGTTGCGCACCTGAAAGAAAAAAGTTAGAGTAAAATCTCAATTAAAAGGACAAAATGGAATGGCATCATACTTTTATTGTAATAAATGATTGAGGTGGGGTGCCTTCAAGTAATAAATGATTGAGGTGGGGTGCCTTCAAGTCATTGTTGACTCCTGGCAACTCTTAAACCTGTCCCTGTATTTTCCTCAGCAAAGTTTTTTGGGGAAGTGAGTTGCCATTGCTTCTTTCCTGAGGCTAAGAGATAGTGCTCAAAGTTACCCAGCTGACTTTGTGCCTAACAGATTCCCAGTTTCTAACTTGGTGCCATAACCATTACACCAAACAGGCTCTCTTAATTAGTTTAATTAAACTATTTAAATCATAAATTAAACAAATGTTTCAAAAGTGTTCTGTCGGTAATTTAAAAATTGTAGTTTTAAAAGATATAAAAATATAACAGCCTTCATGAGTCAAGCAAAGAATTTCTTCTGCATTGGTCAACAAGGTGACAATCAAAAGTCTACAAATAGTTATTTTCTTCTGTTGCTGCTCTCTGAGAACATTTAATGAGAATTATGTATATGCCACATGACTAGTAGCCATTGACGTTTTAGAAAACACTAAATATTTACAGAGTTTTGACGCTCCCATTTGTACATAATTTAAGTGAAAATTTGGCTTATGACTGTAAAATTTCATAAGATGCTGACAAAGAAAAAAATGAAAATGTGGATTGGCTCGATTTAATTACATTGTGATAATAAATGCTGCTTGTCCAAATTCACAGCATTCATACTGTGAATTGATTAATAGATTAGTAGAATCCATTCTATTAATCAACCCTTCAATTCAATAATTGAATGAACAAGTCTCTTTAAAATATCATCCTTATAAAATTTACTTTGCTATATTTGTTAAACATGGCCTAGGCACATATACATTGATTATCTTTATTATTTTTCCACAAACATTTTATTCCTTAATATCAATGAGAGGATTATGCCACCTCCAAATCTGCCATAATTTTTAAGGTCCTTGAAGGAAAGTGTAAGAGACTAAAGGCATTTTTGAATATGATAAATCCACTACTATCTCGGATATCCTCCCAGCTTGCCCTGTTAAATTTACACTTCTTGGTCAATAAGTTCTCACTAAGATATGAAATACCACTAGTTAATTTTATTGATAGAAATTTTAAACAAGGATATTTAACGTTTATTATTCCTCAAGTCCAGCCAATTGGTAGATTAATTTTTAAAAAGTAAAGACATCACTATTGGTTAGTGATGCTATTAACCTGATATCAATCTGAAGATGTTATGATTTCACATGACAAAGAACATTGTACCTTTTGTAATCTGGCAGATCCAGAAATATATTTCTTCACAATGTACATCATTCCAATACATGCTTTCTGGATTTATCTCTCCGCAGTGTTCAACTCCATTATAATTATTGGGTTCTCCATATCCCCAGTTAACATAACCTAACTAATATAGAAATATGGAATAATTTGTTGAAAAAATACATTTTATGATTCAAAATTTCAAATTAACTGTATATAAAAAGTTCCCTAGTATAGAGTCAGAAAATCAGTCCACCTTAGCAAACATTGCTTACATTGACTGGCAGTGACTCTCTAGAGCTTTTTAAATCTTTCTGGTGGTTTCAGGTTTAATATTGGGGTTTAGCAAGTATCCTGTCATTGAGACAATCAACTGCAATAGTGAAGGAAATCTAATTTCTCAGGGATGCTTTTGGAGAATTCATTTTGCTTGAATTTTAAGATGTTAATTATATCATTTCTCCATCTACAGATTGTTGGGCTGGGCAAGCTTGTTAGCCTGTTTTCTTCCTTGCTTGCTTGTTTGCTTGTCTGTCTGTTTGTTGATTGATTTTTATCCCATCTTTATTATCAAATTGGCAAATTTATATAATGTTCCTTCCTCATCCTAGTTTCTCCCAGCAACAATGCTGTAAGGTGAATTGGGCTGAGAAAAAGTGACTGGCCCAAGATCAGCCAGCCGGCTTTCCTACCTAAGGCAGAAGTAGAACTTTCAGTCTTCTGGTTTCTAAGCGAAACTGTCATTTCAGTTGGAGGCCAAGTTTCATCATCAACATTTATCAATATTATTTGGTTGCTTGTTTGTAATCCAGCTTTATTGTTTTAGAATAACATATCCAACACACCTTCCTCCTCCTATTTTCCCAACAATAACAATAACTCTATGAGGTGGGTCGGGCTCCAAGACAATGACTGGCCCAGAGTCACCCAGCTGGTGATCATCTTTTTTTGGCCACTGAAGGGCTGATGTAGTCACATTGCCAGAAAGGACATCACAGATATTTTTGGTTTTGGTTTTTACATTGGGTAGAATGGGTTGGGGTTAAATTTAAAAGATATTCCTTTATATTCCATGGAATATCTGAAATAAATAAATAAGAAAACTAGCCTTGTGAAGGTTTAATACTTATTTTCTATTTATTTAATTTAAAAACAACTGAATGTGATTTTTTTTTCAACAAAATTTGGCAATGAGCTTTCTGGAGGAAGACAACTATATTTTGGAGATCAGCAAACCATTCCATTCTGATCTAAGGCATGGGGTTTGGTGATGAATCTTGTACCTCTGTTAGTAACCCAGGCTTCTTCAAGTTGTCCCATGTTTAATTTTATTTTTTGCTCTCCCTGACGGTGGATGATCTCACTCAGCAGCTTCATGTAGATGTTAAATAGGAGTGAGAAAGTAGCCAGCCCTGCGGGAGAAACCATAAGCTGGACCTCTCACTTCCTATCAATGCTGATTGGGACTGATCTTGGAGAAAGGAGCCAAAACAGCACTAAACTACACCCCCCAAATCTCAGAGCTTCAAATCCCACAGCCATCCCCAAAAGGATACTATGGTCAATGATATATCGAAGGCCTCTGAAAGCTCAAGAAAAGCAACGATGGATGCACTCCCCCCACCCAATCCCGCTCTCACCAGAGATCAATGCAATATTCAATAGTTGCAGGTGTAATATTTCAGTACAACTTTCCAGATTCCTTATTTTTTTCAACTGAGTTCCCCAGTCTTCTTTGCCAAAGCATTTAAAAACAAAACAAAAAACCCAGGAAGCATATTGCCTGAGAAAAAAAAATTGAAATCACTCACTGGTGAATCATCACTCCATTTAAACCCATCCTGAGGATTTAAATAATTTAAACCAATCCAGTATTTGAAACTGCTAATTCCAGAGTCCCTACAATACAACACAAACACAAATAAAAGCAAGGGTTTTAAAAAGTAAGATAAATCCTACATTACGGTTGATTTTCATTAAAATCTGAAAAAGTCTGAACATACCTGAAAAAATAAACCAATAAATGCTTTTGATGGGTAGATCACTACATGATAGAAATGCAAACTAATTTTCAAATGTTCTTTTTGGCCTTTTAAAATAAGATTAATATGTATATTACCAGCATATAAAAATGGAATGGGATTTGGATTGTGGCCAACCATCTACCAGTAAAAAAGGACAATAGTGGGAGTGTCAAAATGAAGAATGGTGAGAAAGTAAAAGGACAGCCAGGAGAAAATAAAAATAGATGGATGCCAACAAAAAGGAAAGATGGGAATTATTTCTACTTTGGGCTTACTCCATTTCCCCAACTGGCAAGCAGATAAAATTTTTCCTTGGGAACCTGATCTTCAGCAGGAAAAAAATTAAATCATCTCAAAGAGAATATGTTACATGCTATAAAGCCAGAGTCTGGCCCTAATATTTAATTCAGTTTTTCCCATTTTGAAACTTGAAGATGTTTGGAATTCAACTCTCAGTATTGTCCAGCCAGCTAAACCGCTGATTTAACATTGCCATGTTTGAAAGACCCTAATTTAATTGTTCTGTCACTTTATTTCAACTCACAGAATTTTCAGCATAGTATTAAGCAGTAATATGTGGTGTGTGAATTCCAGTTTATATCTTCTTTATTGTTAACAAAATGCATGGGTTATAGGATCAAAGGCATTTTGATTTGATTTCTAGAATGAAAGAGTTTAGATTGCAGGGATACATCCATCAACTCACCGCAAATAATTCTGTAGTGTATTGGATTCTTTCGTATTAAAAATGGAAGCCAGGTCTCCTCCAATTGCTAAACAGAAACTCCGAGCATCTGCCCAGGACCTTTTGCCATGATTTAAGTAAGCCTAATGACAATACATTATTTTGCAATTAAGCAGGAAAAAAATGTGCACATGATAAAGTTGAGAAGTATGTCTTTATCAAAGCATGGTAATGATACTGACAAAATCACCGAAGTCACAACCGTTAAAGAAATATGGGAAGTAACAGTCCACATTAACATTCATAATTTCATCTCCATTTTTTCTACTTCAGAATGAATGGAAAACTTCCCCACCGCTAACTAGGCCTAAATTAAACTGCTTTTTAAATGACTTCTAAATTGCTTACAGCTAATAATGGGGGACTCCACTGAGTTTCCAATGGATGGAAATGAAAAGATTATATTTATTTTATTGATTTAGATTCCACCTATCTTACTCACAGATGGCAATAGCCATACAATATAATAGAAAACTCAGTTTTTAGTAAAATAATGTATTCACATTGAGCATAAACACCTGGTGACTGGGTGGGCATGTAGCCTTTTTGTCAATAATACAAAAGAAGTTCACCAATGCCTTCTTCTAAAATGTCTTTCTGTGATAATCTCCTATCCATGTACAAAATAATTCCAAAATAATAAGCCCTTTTTATGGTTTCAAGACATGTGAAAAGTGGTGGGGCTTTCATTGTTGGGGCCAATCTTGACTTTCTCTCTCTCTCTCTCTGTCCCTCCCCCTCGCTCTCCCTCCCTCCCTTTGTTCCTCCCTCCCTCCCCCCCTCTCTTTCACACACACCATTGCTGGTTTCAAAAGTTATGTTGTTGAAACTCTGTGCTTTGATTTTGGTAGGAGTCTTTGGTAGGAGTCTTTGGTAGACCAGAAGAAAGACAAGTAAGGTATTGTTGTTATTGTGACAGGAATTTTTTAAAAAATCTTTCTAGAAGGCAAGGCAAATTACTGCCATATTGTTGCTAAAAAGATTACATGCAATATTCATGAAGTACCAGGAACTGAGTTTAGCTTTCCTTATGTTATATATTCTACAGAGAAGGGGCATACTTTGAAGCACATATTCCTTTCTCCACTTGTTACCCAGCCTTCAGGACACTGAGGGGCAGGTGTTGTAGTTGGTATTGGTGGAGGGGTCACACCATCAGCAAAGCGCTTACAAAGAAACTTTGCCCTGGTCTCACATTTCAGAAGATCCCATAATCCAGCTGTAATTCCAGTTGTCATTGCAACACAGCCTGGCTTCCGACCTTCAAGATAGATCAAGCAATAAACATGTCTGTGTCATGTAAAGTGAGACATCTGATTCAACATAGTTGCTTCTTAATTTATTTTACTATAACTTCTCAAACCATTTCCCCAAATGATGCTACATTTTTTAAAATTTGAGATTACATTCTTTATAAAGACTAATAAAGAAGAAAAATTATTTCTAAAGAAAACAACTTCATGCCAAATTGGTATTATGCAGGCTTAGATTTGTTATCCTTATCTGCAACAGAATAGAAAAGTAGAAATCTGAGTGAAAAATCTTTCAAACTATAGTTCATTAATTCATTTTTGGATTTAATCAGATCAAGAGCCAATTCTAAGAAAGAAAGTAATCAACAAGAAAGAGACCAATTCAATAAAATGACATAGGATAATTTATTTGCATTCTATCAATCCCAAGAAAGCAAATTTTCAGTCACTGTGTGACTGAGAAAAGCAAATTAATATATCCTTAGACTTCAGTGAGATCAAGACAAGTGAGAACTTCATTAAATATAATAGGTTAGAGTAGACCTATCTCCAAGTGTTAATGGAGTACCTGGCATTTCTGAATTCCAGTGAGTGAATTGGATTGGTTGTCCATTGGTCCACCTGAATGTTCCTTTTTCTTGTATGGAAGAAAGACCAATCCAGATATAAGATTCAGGCCTGAAGCCAATCAAACTGGTCAGAAAGGCTTGTTCATATCTATAGAAAGGAGATAATTGGCAATATTTTGCCAGTTTTATCAGTTTTGCCAATATTTGTCACAATGTGCTATTTCTGCTAATATCACTGTCCAAAATTATTTCTAAATTCTTTAAAGCAATTACATATTTAAGAAAATCAACCCAGACTGTTCTTTGGAAGGACAGATATTGAAGTTGAAATTCAAATACTTTGGCCACAAAATGTGAAGAGAGGACATTGAAAAAGTCAATGTAGGCAGAGATTGAAGGCAAAAGAAGGGGACAGCAGAGGATGAGATGGTTAAAGAGTGTTATCAACACAATGAGCATGAATATGGGAAAACTCTGGGGGACAAACAGTGGAGGGCAAAGGGACCTGGTGTTCTGTGGTCCATTGGGATCATAAAAGTTGAGCATGACTTAGTGTCTGAATAACAAAACTGCATATTTATTTAAATTTCAGGAATGTTTTAAATGATTTATTAGAAAAAGAGCATTAGAAAGAGATCTATTCTATTGTCAGCAAAGAATTGCCTGAGTGCAGTGATGAGTAGAACAAGTTTCTCTCAGATGCTGTAATAGTTCTGTTTGAAATGGAGATAGGAATCACAAAGTTCCCAGGAGTAAACAATTTTCTACAATGCATACAAGCAGTAATCCAGACCAATATAAACCAAAGGCTATTAGCATGGCTCCAACATTTGGAGATTATTTTATTAATCTGAATTTAATACTTCATCCTAAGTGGAATAGATCACATCCATAAAGCAAGAATTGTCTATTTTTTTCCTCCTTCCCTTTGAAACTTCTTTATCCTTGAAAAATTGCTTCTGTTAATTGGAACAATTTTAGATATTGTCTGTCTTTAATATTTATTCATCTGATTTGTTGATCACTTACAATATAATAGGTATAAGAATAAACATGAGCGTGAATACAGGAAATAAATACAAATAAATTGGGAATTTAGGATAGGGATGGTAGGCATGATAGTGCACTTATGTATGCCCCTGACAGACCTCTTAGGAATGGGGTGAGGTCAATAGTAGATAGTTTAAGATTAAAGGAGTGGGGGTTTGAGAATGTAACAACAGAGTCAGGTAATGCATTCCAGGCATTAACCACTCGGTTGCTGAAGTCGTACTTTCTGCAATCAAGTTTGGAGCGTTTTACATTGAGTTTGTATCTGTTGTATGTTCTTGTATTGTTGCAGTTGAAGCTGAAGTAGTCATTGATTTATAGGACATTGTAGCAGATAATTTTGTGTACTACACTTAGGCCCAACTATAAGTGGCATAGTTCTAGGTTGTCCAAGCCCAAAATTTAAAGTCTGGTGGTATAGGGTATTCTGTTGCGAGCAGAGTCCTCTGCTCGTAACAGAATACCCTACACCACCAGACTTTAAATTTAGTTAAATGTTGCACCAAAGCTAGTTTCAACAGAGTTAAATATTTTTCAGCTTGAATATCTGTAACTTTACTCATTATTTCCAAGTATCTAAACTTGTATTTGGTCATGAAGACTGGCTGAATTGAAAGTTGAAGCAGACTACAACTGTATGGTACCAGACTTGTCTGCAGCAAAAATGTATTTTTTCAGAAGACATTGGACAAATACATAGCACTCTTTAAACAAAACCATTTTTAATCAATGTTTATTACCTATTTTCAACATAAGCTAAACTAGCCCCATTTTCTGTACACTTTTGATCAGCTTGAGCAAATGATGCAAATGTATTTCCAATCATGTAGCAGTATAAATCGTATCTTTTCCAGCCCTGAAAAGAGAAGAAGAGAAGACAGAGAATGAAACCCAACCATATATAATAAGTAGCCTTGTTGCTATAGCCAGGTTGTCCTATACAGCATTGTGTAAAGAATCACTTTAACCATTACTTAAACTTGAAGGATAGCAGACAAAGATTTCAAGAGCACAGATTTTAATTACAGATACCACAAAAAACTGAAATGCATCAGAAGATCAGCAAATCTGCATTTATCTAATCTCTGTCTTTTTTCTCTCTCTCTTCTCATCTTCAGAGTTCAGATCTGATGTCCCTTTTCCCTGTATGTGAACTCTAACAGAATAATAGACTAAATCGTATTTCATGAGGAAGGGTGATTAATAACTCAGCACTGTTATTATAACTGACTCATCTGATCTCATGCTCTTTGCTCTGACCTTCCTCCTTCTAGTTTCATGGTATGTATGCATTCCATATTCTTTTTTTTAAGTGTGGAGAATCACAGTGAAAATATGTTGGGAACTTATGCTTTTGAAGCAAAAACAATAATGAGTTTAGAGGGAGAAAACTCACACAGATACAAAATAATTCTGCTATACTTCCTTCAATGAAATATGATGTGAGCTTAATTGATGAAAAGCCACTTTCTACTTTTCTGTTGGGATATCCATGTTGTTATGAATATGTTATTAAAAGGGATACTAAACTCATAGAACATATTATTATGTAAGAGATAATATTTGCTCTGCTTCTGCTTTCTTTTATATCTTTCAGTACAAATTTCTTGTCGAAATATTTTTGAAGACATTCACGTTTCAAAATAATTTTAATATTATATAAATTATTGGTTGCTCCCCCATTTTAAATTAATTGGCTTTACAAGTATGCATCTCTGCAGTTTTATTAGTTTGCTTTTAAGATTATTTGTTTAAAACAATATTATAGGACACATTTTAATGTTTTATTATGTTTGATTCAAAACATAAAAGATAGAATTTTAAAATTCCTTCAAGCAATCTGTGAGTATCAGCACCTGAACATATAAAGATGAATCAATAATCAGATAATTTTTTTAGTTTTGTTCCATTTTCATATTTATTGAACAAATTACAAAGAACCAGGAAGAGTAACTGCTTAGCACTTTGATTTCATCAATATTTTACTTACTTTTGAGCATCCATCATCAATTATATCCTTTTCTGGTGCTTGTTTTAAAGGTTTCCTTTTGCAAATGTAACCATATTCCATGTCACAAGGTTCATCTGCCCAATACCCATCCTGTGTTGGGCAGAAGACGAAAATGTCAGAATTCTTCTATCCATATCATTTGTCAATGAGATATCCGGACTTTCTCTTCAGGACTGATGGCTTGACTTCTCTCTTTATGGCTCACCAGTTGAGTTGTTTTGCTGACAGCCCCTAATCTTTCTTATCATAAAATCCCAAAACCATGGATGTGTGTGTGTGTGTGTGTGTGTTGTGTGCTCTTGTATTGTTGCAGTTGAAACTGAAGTAGTCATATATATATTGGATGCATCAGATGCAATAGAATTTATTTTATAAATTTTATAGAAAGAATATTTTTATTACTAAGTGAATTGAAATTATAGTAACAAATTAAAGAAATAAAATAAAACATAGCTCTTAAAACTACACTTGTGGAATGATATCAGAACCATTATAGATATCAATGATACCAGATATCATTATAGATTCCAAAGTTGAACTTCATGCACTTTTGCCCAGTGCTGGTCTACCAAAGCTTGTTGACTCTTCTGCAAGAGACTGCCTTAAAGTAAGGCAAATCTATTAGCAATTATCTCAGTATTCTCTTAATGACAAAATAGCTTTTTCAGCCTTATTTTAGAGATGTCAGAGAGCAAATCTGAGGCTCTTTATATGCAAAACATGAGCTATAATCTTAATTAATATAAAGAAAGGTAGAAAGTAATTGTCTAAATTATTTATTATTTAATTAATTATTTATGTATTCTTTATTTAAAGTTAATGTGGAAACTAGTATGTAGTGGTGCAGATCCTAAAACTCTTCATTTTTAATGTTTTTGTTCTGTTTTTGTGTTTCTATTATCCTTAGTCAGCATTTCTTCAATATCCCCACCAACCTGGTACTAACATTGAGGATTTGCCATGCAGAATAGATTCATAAGCTTAAAATATTTTCTCCATTCAATCAGTTCATTACAAATAGTGGTCAAGAGGATTAAGAGGATTCTAACAATATTTAAGAATATAGTGAAGATGTCAAAACTTTATTTACCTTTCCTTTCATGACCACACAGTCTTCTTCCCTGTTATTAGTATGTGTTGGCTGACCACGGAGCCATTTGGTATATGTCACAGGACTCCCATCTGACCATTCAAAGAACATTTGAATCTTGAGATCATTCAGACCAATCCACAATTCATCACTTGGTTCTAATTCATTGCAGGTAAACAAAAAGTATATTAATATTTTCAACTTATATGTTGCAATATGTTTTTTTTCTAAATAAACAATCTTCTACTTATGTTTTTACTGTTTATAATTTACTTTGCATTTTAGTGAATGTTTTAGTGTGCTTGTTTAATGTGATTTTAACATGTTGCAAACTATTTTGGAAGAATGAGTTGAAAGGATATTATGCACATTTTTAAGGTTAAAAAAAGAAATAAAATTAAAACAACAATGTACTTTTTCCCCAATCCATATCAATCATGGATCCTATTTCCTGTATTGAGGCCTCCTGCTGGTTATGGAAGGTCATTTAAATGATTTCAACCTGATATATTCCAGATGTTTCAGGGTTACAATTCTCAGAACTCCCAGTCAGTATGATCAAGTAATCTACAAATGGTATCAAGTATTCAGTTTACCCATTGTTTCCTTCCACCTTTGGGTTATACGCAAGAACATCCACAGGAGATTAAGCATTGTCAATCCCACTAGGTAGACCAGATCAGGAAATTAACTCCACAGAAAGGTTAAAACTACTCTTATTGAAGTCATCTATAATAGAACCTTGGAATTCTAATTGTTCTCCCTCTTCTTTCAGTAAATCAGGGGTGTATCTGGCTGAGCCATTTATGAATGTTATCCTCTTGTTCTGGATTTAAAAAAAACAAGCAACTTCAGATCCTTTTGCCTGCATGACTCCATCAAAATCATCTTCTCTATTCCCATTAAGCATTGCCCATTATGAACAATGAGAGAAATAGTCAGATTAGGGAAAAGTTATAAGGCTGTGTGAAGACATCTCTGCCTCTCCCATTCTGCCTATCAGTTCTCATTCCTGGGAATCCAGGAATTTTTGCCTCACAAGTGGTACATAAGGGATGGTTTCAATGAAATCTTCCTCCATTGGATAGTGCTGAAATATGAAGGGATTGCTTTTTAGTGATAATTTTCTAATGGTATACCTTGTGCAGATTTTTTAAAATATACTAATCAATCATTAAACAAGAGGAGATAACTTTAAAATGTTCCGCGTAGAAGAATAGCCAGTACAATCTGACAGTATGCCAGAATATAACAGGTGTTTCCTTTCCATGGGGCTAAAATACTAAGAATAAAATGTAATGTATATATGATTTCCTCAGACTTGTACAAAAGCCCAAAGAGCAGAGCACATTATACCGTTTGGCTTCCTGCTCTTGCTGTCATTTTGATTATTGTCTCATGACAGAGGTACTGTTTTTTGAATTCTTGAAATTTTCACATGGTTTTCCTATTTGCTTTCATGCCCCCTGTCCCTACACATCCTATTACTAATAATGGAGATATTATGCTTCAAGAAGTAGAATACTTCTCTCAAGTAGGGAATATGGTGGCCTATGTAAAATTCTCAACATTTCACTTTAACTGAAATGGTTTCTAGATTTGAAACACAATACCAACATTGTCCAAAAATACCTCATTTTTTGCAACCCAATATGATTCACCACCATTAGCCTGCTCACAAATGGAGAAGTCCCACAGATTTGATCTCCTGGACAGAGGCCAAATATGTCCAGTATCTAATCATCCCAAGAAACATACCAACATTAAAAGTTCTGTGTCATATAAATCTTAATCCTGTAGTAAGAAAATCTTAATCTTGTAGCTTGCATTAACTATGGAACTTCCATATTTATCTGCTGCTTTTTTTGATATTATTTATTTTGCTGCTACTAACTATTCAGAAAGCTTCATTGGTTGGTCATCAAAATCCCATTTAACATATATTTCAAAAAGCTTTCTAATCATAATGGATGGATTGGATATTGTGCGCGTGTTTAATAAAACCAATAGATTGGTTTAAATATGCAACAATTTGATATGACGGTGCAACAAAAAGCAAGGGTTTATTCAACTGCCAATTGGAAATTCAAATTTCCAATTTCTAGAGTTCTGAAACTAGTATCTCATAGGGAAAAAAATCTGTATTTTTAATTCTCCAAGTTCTTTTTCAGTTGAATAAAAACAAGGTGCTTTCAATTTTTCCTTCAAAAGAAAAGAAGACAGTGGAGAAATTCTCAAGGAAATAATGCTCTTGAACTTATTTTGTTATCTCCCTCCCTCCCTGTCTATTCCTCTCTCCATCCCCCCACCCACCCACCCACCCCCGTGTGTGTGTGTGTGTGTGTGTTTCCATGTGAATGCATAGTCTTCCTGATTCCACACAAGCCAACTAAGGAAGGAAAAATTTTCATGAAACTGGAAAATCTAGTCAGGTTGCAAATTGTGCAAAATGATGGGATGTTATATAATAGAAAACAGTGACACCAGGTCCAGAATTCTTCACCAGCTCTAATAATAAAGTTAAACTTTCCCTGACAAGCATCCTGAGATCTAAGCAGAAAGACTTGTTTTGCAGGGAAAGAAATTGCAAATTAGATTTCCACCCAATTTGACTATGTATGCTCCTTCAAACCAAAATCTCTACACAGAAATAATGTCATTCAACATTCATGAACATCTGTAGAGTCAATGTATCTGTTCTCAAAGATTGGAGGAGACACAGATACAGAAATTTTCAGGAAATTCTGCACAAGGGCTGAACTCACAATAAAAATTCTTAATGGCAATATGGTTTAATCATTTAACAAGATGTATGAAACTAGTATTGTCAAACTAAACTACTGCTGTTACTTTCAACCAAACAACCATGTTATTGAAAAAGGCTGAAGATTCACAGAACCCCATACCGATACTCACTGTACCCAAGCAGAGAAATAATAAAACTGTACTCTTCCACATTATGGATGCTTGCCAGGTCACCACCTTCCCTTCTACACAGACCAGAAGCATCTTGCCAGGAAGTAGTTTGTCTGCGCATCTTATAACATTGACCCACATAAAATATCCATCCTTCAGGGCAATCAGCTAGTATATCAGAACCTGAAAAACATCACAACATCAACAGTAATCAAAGCTTTGCTTAGTTCAGATATTTGAGTGCTTGATTGATTGCATTTATATGGTTGCCCACCTCAACCAAATAACTATGGTATCAATAAAGGAGGATATTTGTAGCTCTGGGCTAAAATGAGGGGTCTTTGGTGCCTTCTGAGCTTGGTGGTTTTCTTGCAAACATTCCATTATCAAAACTAGGTAACATCATTAGTGTGCTGCTGAAGTTACTTAGTCTGGGTAATGAAACATCTTTGCTCTAAAACAGTGGTTCCCAAAGTGGGCGGTACCACCCCCTGGGGTGGTGGCATGCCTTAGGGGGGCGATAAGAGGCAAGGGGGCCAGCAGGGGGCTGCTAAGATGTGGCAGGGGCGTGTTCAAGGTGCCAGCCCCGCAGGCTCACTGACTGCCGGCCACGCAGCCCATTGACTGTTTCATCGCTCCGTAGCTGGTGCCTTGAATGCAGAACCTGTGCATGGTGCGCCTTGCCAAGCTGGAGGGAGGAGAGGTGGGAGGTGGTGGAAAGAGGGCGCCTTAGCTTGCAGGTTGCCCTCTCCGGTGGAAATGGCGGAGGCGCACCAGAAGGCCAGAAAGCAAAACCCTCCCAAGGCGCGCAGTGGAAGGGGTGGGTGGTCCGGTGTTAGGGCCCTCTTCCCCGGAAAACAAGGGAGCATGCAGCGCTCGCCCAGCCTCCACCTCTCCAGCCAGCCAGGCTTGCGCACAGGATGCGGGTGGGTGCAGCTGCAGCTCTCCAAGGCACGTGCTTGGTTGGTTCGGCTCTACGTGGCCATCCCGGACCTAGAACCTAGCCTCCCTCTGCAGCCTGGTTCTTCCAACTGAGCCCTGCACTTGCTTTCTTATTTGCTTAGTTTGCAAGTGATCGTTCCCTCCACCTCCACTGGTCTGGGCTGCTTCCGCATGCCTTCCTCTTCCTGGATGGAGCATAAAGATGGGCAGAATACTTAACTGAAGTCAGGAGTCTCTGAGCATGTACAGAGTACCTCACCTTGTTTGGCTCGATGGAAGTGGACCTTGGGTTGAAGCAAAGAGAGTGAGATCGGCTGCATCGCTGCCCCGGGGAGGTTGGCATTGCAAAATTGGATGCCAAAGGGGGCTGGAGAAGGGTCAGAAGGGCAGATGCAGGGGGCTGGTCAGTGGGTCAGCTCCAGGGGGCTGCAGAAGGGGAAGAGGGGCAGCTTCAGGGGGCTGGAGAAGGGTCAGTGGGTCAGCTGCAGGGGGTTGCAGAAGGGGGCAAAGGGGCAGCTGCATTAAGGAGCAGGAAGATCTTAGCCATGGTTTATTCATTGACTAAGCCGGAATCAAACAGCATGCTAAACTGTAAACCAGAATGGCTGGGTTGATATATTCAGCCCGAATTTCTCAACCTTGGCAACTTGTGTGGACTTCAATTCCCACTCTGGCTTTGCTCTACTTTCTCAAAGTGCCACCACTGTCGCATTCTTTCTTTCTTTCTGTCCGTCCATCCAAAGGTCTGCCTGTCTGTCTGTCTGCCTTTCTGTCTACCTACCTACCTACCTTCCTATCTATTTACCAATATCTATCTATCTATCTATCTATCCATCCATCCATCCATCCATCCATCCATCCATCCATCCATATATACATCCAAAATGTCTAGAGCAAAGCCAGTCTGGGAGGGAGGGAGGGAGGAAGGGAGAGAGAGAGAGAGAGAGAGAGAGAACTGATGCATCAGATTGAAATGAGGCCTAGTTTAGACTGAGGCCCTTTTCCACATTGAAACATTTTTGGCAGCACATTGAAACATCTTTGGCTTCTATTAAAGGTTTTGTAGACAAAACATGGTCAAGACTATCAGGAAGCTCTCACATTTTGTTGAGTATTTAAACAGGATCCATTGGACCAGATCTACACCCTAAAAAATTACTTTTCCCCAATGTATTACAGTGCCAATTCTGAAGAAGGCAAAACCAAAATGTACTGGTAAATTACAAGGAGAACACACACGCACGCACACACACACACACTCCCTTCTAACCCTGCTGGAGCAGGTGATTGGACTAGAATAGATATTTAATTATCTTCTCCTCCCTCCCTCCCTCCTTCTTTATTTCTTTTTCTTTCTGTCCCTTCCTTCCATCCCCCTCTTTCTTTGTCCCCTTTTCTTTCTTTCCCTTTTCCCTTTCTTTTCTTCCTTCTCTCTTTCTGTTATGTCTTTGGGACTGGTTGGTGTTCCCAACCAGGTCCGTTCTTTAAGCAGGAGCACCAGCAGCTCCCATTGGTTGGCTCCGTTTGACAGTTGGCTATAAAAGCCGGCTGTCAGGCTGAGCCAGCCGTTGTTCGCTGGCAAGTCTGCCTGTTAGCTGGCAGACGCGACAACCATTTATTCTTTGAAATAAACCAGTTACTTGTATGCTCTGGTCTAGCCTCTCATTTCCCTCGATCTACAACACTGGCGACGAAGGTGGGATCGGCAGGCTAGCCAGAAGCACTCATTCAAAAGAGCTGAGAATCACGCTAACAGAATCACCGCACTGAACCGCAGCCGTATCGCTCGCAGAGAGCTCGGGCTCAGATCGCTGCTGTCTGAGAGTGAAAGTCACGAGCGTTGTAGCCGCTCGAGTTAGAACGCTACAGTTAGTGAAAGTCGGGCGCTGAAGCCGCAGCCGCCCGCGCTCGCAAAGGAGCGCGAAATTCAAACCGCTGCCGTTTGAATTCAACCACTCAAGTGAAGTTCGGCACTGTAGCCACAGTCGCCAACGCTCTCTAGGGAGCGCGAAAATTCGAATTGCTGTCAGTTACGGCACTATAGCCATAGTCGCCAACGCTCTCCAGGGGGCACGAAATTCGAATTGCTGTAAGTTACGGGGCTGTAGCCACAGCCGCCAAACGCTCGCAGAGAGCGCGAAATACAAACTGCCTTCACGAAGGCTGGAGTCACTGAGCGAGTTTAGGGCGCTGTAGCCACAGCCGCCAACGCTCACGGTTAGCGTTAAACCAGGGCCACGAACACCCAGAGAGACAGACCAGTCTGCTAAGAGACTGAGGGATCCAGAATGAATGTCAATCAGGCATTCCCACCATTCAAGCCCGATGAGGAAAAATGGGATTCGTATAAGAATCGCTTCAACCACTTTATCGATGCCATCGGTTTGGCTGATGCTGCGGAGCATAGGAAGAAATCCTACTTCCTCAGCTACTGTGGGGCTGCAGTCTTCGACACCGCCACAGCACTTTTCGCACCACGAGAGATCAGGAACGTCCCACGGACTGAGCTGCTGGAAACACTTTCCAACCACTACTCACCGAAACCGTCCCAGATCGCTAGACGTTTCGCATTTAGAATGAGGAAGCAAGCCGAGGGGGAATCCATCGACCAATACATGGCCGCCCTGAGGACAGCAGCTCTACATTGTGAGTTTAAGAACTATTTGGACGATATGCTGCTCGATCAACTCGTCTGTGGGGTAAGAGATCTAAGGCTCCAAAGACGTTTGCTGGCCAGAAAAGATTTAAATCTCCCCCAGGCCGTTGAGGAAGCTTTAGCTGCTGAACTCTCAGCCCAATCAGCAGCTGAGATCCAGGGCACCGCACCCAAGCCCAGCACTCCCTCCGTCCACTCTGAAGAAGTGGTGGGCGAAGATGACCCTGCAGAATACTCTGACATTCATTGTCTCAAGCTGATGAGACAGCAGGTAGGAGCGAGGCAAAGAAACAACAGTGGCCCAAAACAAACCCTTTTGTGCCTAACCTGTGGAGGTTCCCATTCCCGGGCATCTTGCAGGTTCAGAAACGCCAGCTGCCACAACTGTCACAAGAAAGGTCACCTCGCAAGAGTCTGCCAGGCAGCGCGCGTTTTTCCACAAAAATCTCCTTCTTCTCCTGGTTCCCAAAGGCAAGTAGAGAACTGCTATACTTGCTACCACGCTAACCACACATTTCAAACCCTCAATAAAATTACACTTTCTGTCTTCTTAGAAGGTAAACCCTGCTGCATGGAGGTAGACACGGGGTCAGCGCTCTCAATCATCTCCTGGGACACGCTTAAGAAGATCCAGCCCAGACTGACAAGGAACCAGCTTCAAAAGTGCCATCTCACCTTGAGGGACTACCAAGAAAAGAACATCCCGGTCCTCGGGAAAGGCAAGTTCCTTGTTAAATTCCAAGCCTTCAAAGGCCATTTGCCTTTAGTGGTTGTTAATGGTGCCCTCCCTAGTCTTTTGGGATTGGATTGGTTTCCCTCTCTTGGCCTTAGTGTAACAGGGATCCATGCTGTCTCAACTTCGGATGTTGACTCCTTATTCTCAGACTATTCTGACGTTTTTAGTAGCGAGTTAGGCTGTTATAATGGCACTCCCATCTCCTTCTCAGTAGACCCCCAGGCAGTTCCCGTCCGCTTAAAACCACGTAGAGTACCTTTCGCCATCCACCCCAAATTGGACGCAGAACTAGACAAGCTCCTCAAGCAAGGGGTGATAGAACCCACTGATTTCGCTAAGTGGGAGACCCCCATAGTCACCCCACTTAAAAAAGACGGTAATTTAAGAATTTGTGCTGATTACAAGACATCAATTAACCGTTATCTACAGGTTAGCGCATACCCTGTTCCAGTCATTCAGCACCTGTTACACACATTCGAACCTGGCACCATTTTCGCCAAACTGGACATGTCACAGGCATACCAACAGTTCCCTGTTGATAATCAAATGGCTGACTTACAGACCATAGTAACACACAGAGGGGCGTTCAGGTGTAAACGTCTCCAGTTTGGCGTAAGTGTAGCCCCAGGTATTTTCCAATCACTGATGGAACGAATTCTCCAAGGCCTCCCTGGCGTAGTTCCATATTTTGACGACATTTTGGTCTCAGCCAGGGACAGACCCCAACTCATCCAGAGAGTCAGGGCAGTATTAGAGAAGTTCAGGCAGCATGGCCTCAAACTAAAACGGGAGAAGTGTGCCATCGCCACTAGACAGGTGGACTTTCTAGGATACAGGCTAGACGCCTCA